CTGAATCGTTCACAGAAAAGGTGTAGGACGTTCGTGCAAAAAGCGTAGAAGTTCTGTTAGTATAATTTGCTATGACGTACAGCTGTAAACAGCCCACCTGGCCCGATTAGGCTTAGCCTCAACGCGCTCATGCCACAGCCTCTCTTGCCTCATGCGGTCTCGCGCAAACTTGCCGTTCAGCCCGTTCAGCCTCGACCTCCAACGTCCAGGCAGTCGCTTCCATGACCGCGCCACTATTTGTTCGACGTGCCTCTTCCGCGCATCATCGCATTGCTTTCACTCTTTCTCGACACTCCATCATAATTTCAACTCACCCACGGTTGTCTAACAATGCCTACCCACGGCGCGTAGCGCATACACAGCAATCTCCAAAACTTGGAGACTATCACTTCCTTCATCTTTTCAATACATCTCCACGCGTCTAGAAACCGCGGTTATAGTTCGCCCACGCAACCGAGCTTGGGAATATCACCCTCAACCGCCCGCCGCAATGTCTGACCCACGATACGAGCTCATGGTTCCACCAGGAATGAGTGACCAGCTATGGCCCGAGCGCCTGGACACACCCGGACTCATCCCACATCACCTCAAACGCTCTGCGACAGGTCAGTTCCCCATCTTAGAGGTTATCCAGCGTCTACTATATCGACTCCGGCCAAGCGGCATCGGTGATCTTGAAAAGCTCCTCGCACTCATCGGTCTCTACCAAGCTGTTCGTCCCGCATACAAGCATCTGAAGGATTTCTTTACATGGGCCTTGACTGTTCAAGTCACCATCCCAGAGACTGATCCAGTCGCTAGAGAGGTTCTGGCATGGATGGGCTCGGAGGTGATACTCAACAGCCACACGAGGAGTGCCATGCTGGTCACAGGAGGCACACAGGATCCCAATGACGAGTTTCATCGCCGCATGATGGCGGCGCATAACCCGAGACTTGCATCCGAGAAACCGGACGATGAGGTTCTTTGTCTCCCGCCAATCGGTACACGACTATTTTGGGTCGGATTTCGACCGTATCTATTTTCACGTCGAGGAGGCCCTGGCTATCGGACCAACAGTGGTATGACCGGTAATCTGCTTGACGATAGTGGCCAGCTTCAAAACTCCCTCACTATCATGACGCTCGGATGGAGCCTCAAACCACTGAAGCAGTTCACCAGTCTCTGTCGCGAGTTCCGACTGAACAACCTCACGGGTACTACGACTGTGTACTTCGCGGGCGATCGTACGGATCCATACGGTAATGGTTGGCAGTCGGTTTCCAAAGCCATTCGAAAGCTCGACACTATAGACATGGACGAGACTACCAAATTTGATATTGTCAGAGACGCAGAATACTACTACAGCGAGGAGTCGCGGTCATTCTTTGCCGACTGTGGTATCCCATATCGGCGCGGATATCTCTTCCATGGCCCCCCGGGTACCGGCAAGAGCTCATTCAGCGCTGCATTAGCGGGCCATCTTGGCTGCGACATCTACCACATCAACCTTTCCACCGGTAGCATCAATGATGGAACACTTCACCGCTTGTTTCTAGGCCTTCCACGCAAGTGCGTAGTGGTTTTGGAAGACATCGACTCTGCTGGTATCGGTCGCGAACGAACACCGCCGGCTGCCCCAACAGGAGCACATGCGCAAGGGGATGATAACCTGGGTGACGTCGCTAGCATCCCAGGTGGCATCGGTCCGCTACCAAAACTTCGGGCTCGTGATTATCCAGGTGTGGGCCGTAGATCGAACACAGTTACACTAAGCGGCCTGCTGAACGCCATCGACGGAAACGCCTCTCAGGAAGGCAGACTGCTGATCATGACCTCGAACGCTCCCGATACGCTTGATGCGGCTTTGACGCGTCCCGGCCGCATCGACAAGAAAGTCTATTTTGGCAACATGGACCCTAGTGCAGGCAAGAGCATCTTCAAGCGCTTGATTGGTCGATCAGCTCTCGCTCATGATGCCGAGTTTACCATGGCGCAGATCGAGGAGTGGGCATCTGAGTTCGCTGAGAAGATGCCCACGAATACATGTAAGTGGTCATGGCATTTCAGATCCAAATTTCGTACTAATATGATATAGTTTCTCCAGCACAAGTCCAAAACTACCTCCAAGGCTGCCGCGGGGACCCTCTCAAAGCTCTCAACGACGTTGAAGCCTGGATCGCCGAGACTAAGCCTGAAGCGGGGAAGTCGAACGGCACTGAGCACGGCACTCAGCACGGCACTCAGAGCGGTACCCAGAACGGTACCCAGAACGATACTCACAACAATACTTTCACCGGAGTGGTCCCAGTCGGTCCCTTCAAACTTGCGCCAGATGGTAGTGAGTTAGAAGCTCTGCTCCTAGCCGGGAGCACGAACTGAAACAGCATCGGAGAAACTGCGTTGATATTCCCAGAGTACTGACATTACACTAACAGCTGCGTCCACCCCGGTTCCTCCAACCTATACAATATCAGTTCCGTCCGTCCGGGTTCCTCCTGGGTTCTATCAGTGGAAGAATCCAGAAAAGGTAGAGAAATGGTATCAAGATCATCCACACGCATCGGCGTGGATCATGGCACCACCTTTTAGGGGATCAGACTCTGAGGATGGCGATCTCTCTCATTTGTGTTAGGGGGGCATTTGAGTAGATAACTGTCACAGCCGGTAGACCGGAATGAAGACGTTGGGTTTTCGTTGTTATGGATGCGAAGAAGTAGAGACTGGAAGTTGGGGGTATAGATGGGGTTGGAAGTTGTGCGCGCACTTCTTCTATCGAAGCACAAACGTTCACGTATTTGGTAGTGGACGAAATGACGTCCGGATAGCCGGCAATGTCTAAGCTTTTTCATGTCGCTGCTTCTCGTGTTATAGACTTAGTGAAGCTCAGTGCACTTCATTCTCCGACCAGGCTCTCCGTACAAATACCCTCTTCATCCCACTTATATCCTTGTCTGATCAACCATCATACCAGCCACCATCCTCATTTCACCACCACCCCGCCCTAAGCCTCATCCGCACCTCTTCCATCATAGATATTAACGACGCATACCGCACGATCATGCTAGTCAACCATCCAGATAAGACACAGTACCTTCCTTCGCCCTTATACTTGTGGATTGCCCCATTGGCACTAATCATGCTGTATGGGAAATGATACCCGGTCCTCCAAAGAAAGTGGATCAGGATGCTGAGCTAACAGCTCGTAATGCTCTGATCAAAACGTCCCAAAGTCCAACTCCAAGTGAGCTTCGGCGTCTTCGCAGATTGCAAGAAGATGGGTGCGAATTTCATGACAACCGGCTCGCAGATCGGCTTGCATACCGGCCCGCACGCCGTAACTCTGAGCATAAACGACGTTGCTGATCCCGCTCAACTTCTGATAGAGCACATGGAATGAAAGTCCTTCGAAGGGATGTTGGTCATGTTTCTCGATGCGACTCAGCAATTTTGTCTCCCACAAGCCTCGCTGTAAGAACCCCAACATCATTGCCGAACATGCATCATTGCATCCCACTTTGCTTTCGTATAGATCTTGGATGAGCTTGTGGGTGCCGGCCAGTAACTCTTGGATAGCTTTACACCTCATGCTGTCAAGCTGACTCACTCCTATAAGAGTTAGCGAATCCTCATAGACTAGGTGGTTCACTCACCTTTTTCACCGCGTGGAAAGGGTAGATCCAAGAACTGTATCGGATGACACGCCTGCCTCATTGCCAGAGATGCCATGCTCTCAAATATATTCCAGTTTTTCAGCTTCACACCCAAGAACATCCACAGCATTGACTCTTCGCCGTAATGTTTGGGCACCGGAAGCTCATAGAGTTGATCTTTCCACTCTTTCGTAAACAGCCTCAACGCATCCTCCATTTGGTAGTAATCCGCAACCAGAAACAGCGCAACAAACAATCGCACACTGATTTCCTTCGGTATAGCCGCGAACTGGAGGTGCGCAATATTGAGCATAATGGCAAGGGCATCCGGGTTCCACTGCTGCGCGCGTACGTGATAAAGACCGTCCTCGCTATTCGGAACAGTCTCGTCGTAGTTCCGTTTGAACATCTTTTCGAAGTAAGGCGAAACGATGCGCAATTGTCGTGATGACACGAGGTAGTGAACTTCGGTAGGTTTCTGCTCCGGTCGCGCAGTCTCGTTCTCGATGACTGCTTTGGCGGCCTCTGCTTGAGCGATCCAATCTCCCACGGATTCGCTCTCGTTGCTCCACTTCGACTGCGCGGTATTTCGGTATTTGAGCTTGATCAGCATGTCGCCGTTTGGGTCGATCGTTACGAGCTTTGGTTTTTCGCCCATTGTGACTGAGGCGTGCGCTGGGTAAATTCGACGTAACGATGTTGGTCTGGCGGATTGAGAGAGTCGAGTCAGCGTGTGAGTGTAGCGTATTGGGCAGGTGGTGAAAGACTGCGCGTTTGCTCGCCAAGCCCGCTAGTTGGATCGCGCTGATGAAGACAAGAGGGAAGGATTAATAGAGCAGTCGGGCTCACCTAAGATAGATAAGTGGGCACAGAAAACCGCATAGTAGTAGGTAGCTTCATGTCTCTCTGCGTAGTCGCAGTACGAGTGAATTGAGTGGATGGCAACCATATGTAGCTAAGTTTGAAGAAGTGTAAAAGTAGACGGCGTCAGTATACGTATTGCGTGATGACAGGTTTGCATCTTGATCATGAGATGCAGTTTACTTAGTGTGATACCACCTTTTGATTCGAAGGTTATGCTGTCATTTGACAATCTGATCTAACTGTGAGAGGCGGTGTCGAAAGATCCTAGCAGTTTTGCACCTTTCCTTCTTCGGCTACCCTCCCTTCGCTCGCTGATACACGCCAACCAAGAAAAAAACTGAACAGGCCTGCAGCCTACATCAACTTAGAACCCTACAAGATAGGTGACTTGGCGATGATGTAGGCTCTAGACCTGTTCAGTTTTTTTCTTTTATGAGGTGGATACATGGTCATCCATCGCCACCCTGCCTCCATATCGAAGCTTCAGGTATTTCCTCTAAACCCTCATTTCGAGGAACTAACCACCTTGGACGGAGTGAGATCAAGTTTGAAGTTCAGATCCTCGTCGGCCTTCTTAATAATCTGATCGAAGAGACCCCTGAAGTCGCATTCCTTGCATGCTCCTACGGGCATCCATGCCTGATCTAGGATTATTCTGCCAACCATAACAGAAGGTTGTTTCCGGGTCACCATAGCTCGTACAGCATCACATGCTTCCTGGAGACTTGTGCCGTAATAAGGCGGGGAGATGGTGTCTCCTAAAGCCGACGATAGTCCATCAGGTTGCTTGAGCAGTATCAAGGAGCCCAGGACGGAAGCTCGGCAAGTGAAGCTGCAGCATTCTTCACCTTTGCGAAGACGTTCGATGAAACTGTCTAACTGGTCGATGATTGAATTGATAGCTTGCTGCCGGTGCGCTTCTAACTTTTCTAGTACGCATTAGCAGGGCTAGTCATGACGGGGTCACCCCGTTCAAGGGAAAAACCGAACACCCTAGAGCCTACATCAAGATAAAAGCTTGCGAAGTGGGTGGTCTAACGGCGATGTAGGCTCCTGGGTGTTCCGTTTTTCCCTTGTATGAGGTGGGGTGGTGTGCAATCTCACCTGGGATATTGCCCAATGGTAATCCTAGATCTTGTAGTGGCCCCTTGCTGTGCTTCTTTGCTATGTCTATCGCTCCCCCCAAGACCTCATTTGATTGGGACACGTATGACAAGAACATCCGCTTAACAACGTCGCTACCAAGGATTCTGTGACGTGCTATTGAGTAACTGTCGTTGCCGCCCCATCGAAGAAAGCATTTCTTGAAGTGAGTATATGGCGCCTCCCGCATGTCGTAGTAATCGATTATCAAAGCCATCTCTACCGTTTCGTTGAAATAGACGTGGTCGTTCAGACCTGTGCTCCGAGCATGCGCGACAATCAGAAGTTGCTCCAGCGCCGTAGGGTTCCACTCAGTAGCCCAGATATGGTATTTCCCATCCTTGGAGTCGGCGACGCTCTCGGCAAAGTCTCTCTTGAACATGGCGTCGAAGTAAGTGGATACAAGACGGAGCTGACGTGATGACACCAAGAAGTGTACTTCCTCGGGGTGCTTGCGCTGATTGCTCGTGTCTGCAAGTTCCGTCGCAGTATTTTCGAGCGGTGCCTCGGTGGTCTCGGCGGGCGGTGCGAAACGAGTGGCTTCGTCGATCCATTCCGGTAGCTCCCAGCGGATGCCCTTGAGCTTGAGCAGTGTGTCGCCGTTGGGATCGATCGTGATGAGTTTTGTGTGTTCCGCCATCGCTGCGGGTGCGCGAAGTGAGACGAGGAATCGTTCGAGCTGTAGGAGAAAATTCGAATCAGCGGTCAATGGCGAAAGCAGATGAGCAAATTTGCGAGTGTGTGGGAAAGTGAGAGAAGACGCGTTTGCTCGCCAAGCCCGCTAGTCCGGTGTTGTGGTACAAACTCGAAGGGACGGAAGGTCCGCACTGATTGCGGTGAACATGAATTGATCATAGATAGACGTAAGGGAAGCTAATCGCGTTAGGACGAATACAATTCGAGAAACAAGTAGAACGGTGAAGCTGTGTACTAAGGAAGCTGGCTAGCCTTCAGTTGATGGATACGGTCGAACGCACGTGAGACAGAAAAGTGAGCAAAGGAAACCGCAATAGGCGCATCGCCTATCAACTGCATGTGCTGTATTACCTCACTCGGAGGTCTGTGGATAATAAGGTATATACATGAACTACGTTTACATAATTATAATTCAGGAAGCGATACCTTCAAGTTGGATTTGCTCTCTAGTAGTGAGCAGGGGCGGGGGTCGCCTTGGGCCTGACCCTAGTCTCCAAAGTGCAAGGCGTGCTGCTGGCCTTGACACCTCCGTAGCCCTGAGCAGCAGAAGGCTTGGTGGGGCGATGAGCAGCATGGGTAGGCTTAGGGTAGGCGTGAGGCCACTTGCCAGAAGGCCTGGGGCGGCCCCAGCCGAAGCCGCCTTGAGGGCGGCTGCCGTTGTGGAAGTAGTCTGGGCGGGGAGTGCCAGAGGGGCGTGTGTTGCCAGAGGGACGCATGCCGGTTCCGGTGGGGTAGGCTGCTGCTGAGCCTGTACCGGTGGGACGTTGGGGAAGAGGCGACGAAGCGGTAGCGTCAAGGGGCACGCGAGTGCTCTGAGCCTTGCTTTTGGTGCAAGATGTGGAGGTTGCGGGTTTGGGTGTCGCAACGGTAGAGGTAGCCGCCGAGCTTACGCCGGTAGGCTTCTGAGGGGCAGCCGATGATCGGGTAGCGTCAAGGGGCACGCGGGTGCTCTGGGCCTTGCTCTCGGTGCAAGTCGTGGAGGATGCAGGCTTGGATGGCTTGACGGTAGGAGGAGCTACCGGGTATTCAGCAGAGCCGGTAGGCTTGACAACGGACGAGCTGGATACGGTAGAGTAGACCGGCAAGAGGGACAGAAGAGGGACCGCGGCAGTCTCTGTGAAAGCAGGTGCAATAGCAGGGTTGAAAAGCTGGGATGCCGGGATGTAGATGGACTTGAAAGGGTTCGGCAGATCATTGTCGGGAAGGAATCCTGAGGGTATAGCTCCGAGGGCGGATGTAATAACAGAGACGATGGGGACTATGGGCACCAGGGACGCAATCGGGTTTGGAACGGGCGTGCCGTACCCAGCAGGTGCTGTAACGGAGGGAGCAGGCTTCGAGCCTCCAGCAGGGGCGTTGTAGCTGTTATCGCCGTACTGAGCAAAGGCCGTACCGGCAAGCAGGGAAAAAAAGAAAGCAGAGTGCATCATGATGCTAGCAGATGATCAAACAAAGCGAGGAACGAAATAAAGAGCGAACGACCAGCGAACCAGGTCAGTGTGTCTGTGAGAAGACGGTAAAAAGAATGTAATCGATGCGAATGATCGTGAAAGCGGTAGCAGGTCGTCGTCATGTTGGAGTTGCTCCCCTATATAACCAGGCGGGCAATGAAACAAGCCATTTCCGCTGGGGCCTGAGGCCTGGACCAAGAAGACGGCGCCAATCGAGGATCATCTCGGAAACATTTGCAGTGCACCCCAGTGCGGGGGCCGCCGCGCCTGTACAAAGGCAAGGTGAGAGCTGCGAGTGGTTGGGTTGCTGAGGCGCGGACCGTAGAATGGGTAGCGTAATTGCGGTCGTTTCGAGTTGTTTCGCCAAGATCCCGCTAGCGGTAGATCGCCGCGCAAGCACGTGACGAGGTCGGGACGGGATGGTCTAGATCACCAGCTCGTCATTGCGTCAACGCGCACCATTGTCCGATTCATCATTTAGATTTGAGGACTCCAGCGCTGAGTACTGACTAGCATACACCTAACGGCCATCTCGATCTATTGTATCACGACGCCGTCTTCCGCCGCTTGATACCGATCCACATGTCTTCCCAGAATCCTACACCACCTTTGACTACAAAATTGCCTTTGCGGCTTTCGTCGATCTCAATCTTGAACGTCCTGAAGAACTGCAACGGGGCCTTGTACAACTCCATGAGCGCGATGTCTTTCCCAAGACAGACTCTCGCACCATATCCAAAGCCCATGTTGTACTTGTTGTACTCTTTTGCTTTTTCTTCGCTTTCTAGCCACCTTCCTGGACGGAAATCACAGGCATCTGCACCATAGATCTTCTCATCGCGGTGCACGAGCCAGGGGTTGCAGGTTATTTCGGTACCGGGCGGCGCGTAGCGGCCATGCAGGTGCATCCCTGACGAACCCACAACGCGAGGGAAAATATTCGGAGCGGAGGGACAGAGACTGTATTCGTTAGTATAGGAGAGTGACTGAGAAGAAGATGAGTGACCTACCGCATGCTCTCTTTGACGCAGGCAACGTAGTATGGACAATGCTCCAATACTTCGTCATACTGCGGCATGGGGCTCAACTTGCCTTCGCGAGTGACGCGCTCTAACTCTTCCATCAACTTCGCGTATACTTGAGTATCAGACGTAATGTACGCAATCATCGCTTGGAATGCAGTACCTGTCGTATCAGCACCAGCGAGCAATACGAGAAGGATTTCAGCTTTGATGTAGTCCAAATCCAGCGGTGCACCGTCTTCCGTCCTTGCATCCAGGAAAGTCTGTAGCAGATCGACTCTGTCGACCTTACCAGCTTCGATATCTTGGATTCGCTTGGCAATGAGCTTGTCACGGAAGCGCATCAGCGTGCCAATACCGGAGTCATCCTCAGGCTTCGCGACAAGATATTTCTCGCCGAACCATGTGCCTTTCGCCCATTGTGTGAATGGCCAGAGCCGAGCCATGAGACCAAAAGGAAGTAGGCCATCGTGGAAGCCTTTGATCAAGCCGTCAATATCGGAGCCGCTCTCGATGAATCCGATGGGTGCGCCAAAGCCAATCTCCGATATGATGTCATATGCCATGTATACTGCCTATATAAAGTGTCAGTGCCCCTGATCGCCAGCATAATGATAGTGTGAAGCATACCCACGGGGCAAAGTCAAATCTACTGCCATCGCCGAAGACTTCCTCCAGCTTGTCAGTCCACTGCTGGATGCGATCATCCACTAGCCCTTCCATCTTTCTGACGTTGCTGAAACTATATGGGCCAGCAGCGATCTTGCGAAAGTGGGCATGGTGCTTGTGTTCCCGCATGTTGAACAAGCTCTCGGTCTTGCCGAAGCTGCCGGTGATGTAATGATTCGACTTGTTCGATTGACGATTGTACACTTCGGGAAGCTTGGTAGCATCGGAAACTAGCAGTAGGGTAGGCGTGACGCGAAGGACGGGGCCATATTTGCGGTGTAGGGCGAGTTCGACCTCGCATTCATCAGCTTTGATGTTGTGATAGGCGATCCATAGCCTCGTTACGCTGGCCCAGAAGGGACCAGGGAAGTGTCGTAGTGGGTGAAAGAATCGATAGTAGATGATCTGGTAGACGCATCTCACGGTAGCATATGCCACGAGTACTAGGAGGATATTAGGTATCGTGAAGTACGAGGAGAGATGCAGACTAGAGTCTTGCGTAGACATCATGCGGGAACTGCAGAATACGAGTACACTGGATCAACTAGAAAGGGACACTGCAGTGCCGACAATAGATATATCCGTTGAGTGTCATCGCTCCAAAGGATCGTCAAGTACCCTTACGGCGTAGGAAACTAACATGTCGCCCGGAGAAGCATCGCCAGCGCCTTTTGAAGAATTCACACATATGATTCGACATGAAACCATCCAGCAGTCACGCCTCTCTTCCACATGTTCTCCGATAGCGTGGCGGGGTAGCGAACGCTAGAACGATGCTGTCGCGGGGTACATACGCAGGTACGGGCAGCATTTTCCGATCTACCAGCACAACGCGGGGTCGGGAGTTGCATTCCATGCCACAAAAGCGTCATATTCGTGTCGTGGTTGATGTGCGACATGAATGAGCTGGGTGTCATGCCAAACTAGGCTGAAGACGATAATTTCGATGGCCGGTGATGGTCTTGTAAGGATGGAAGTCTCTTTTGAGAAAAGACATGTGTGCGTTGAAGCGGACTAAAAGCCGTGTCAACCCTGGAGAACGAACTTTGAGCCCTGAATGTTGTTGAGGTGACGCACGCAGCCGGAGCGGAAAGATCCATGGACGTGTCGCCAAGGGCGCTAATCCGTGCTGATCTTAGCGCGCTAGCCCCTGGCTGCCCAGCCCTGGAGGTACCCGGGCGCGTATCGCCGCGCGGTTTGAGGGCCAGAACGCGAACACCGTCACCCTCATTATCATATCCTTTCAGTTTCATCTCCCGCACGTCGAATCGCGTCGCGAGACATGCCATATGCGCGATGGACGGAACTTCTGACTCAGTTGAAAAAAATCCGAAATCTGCAACTGCAGGCAGTCGCCAATTGTCGTTCTACTCTCTTCTGCCACGCCGCGTGGACAACACCTTATTCACTGGTCGAAAGCTTCTTCGCACAAAGTCATCTCCTTAGGCCATCCCTACTGTACAGATAGTTCGAGCTCAGCCGCGTATGCAGGAACGAACTTGTCAACTGCTTAACAAAGTTCGATGCCGTCCGTTCACGAACGACCGACTGGGCGTGTTGTCGCTGCGATTGGCCTAGCTCTGTTACATGAGAAGGTAGCGCGACACATGGCAGCGAGTCGCTTCTTTCGCCGATATGGACGGGGTTATAGAGGTAGTGAAGCTTTCGACAAGTAAGCAGCTTGATCTGACGCTCCAAATCGCAACACTCGGCCGGGCATGTGACTTCTCGTAGTCGCTAGCGACGCAAGCCTCTTACACTTTAAACACATGTTGTTATATACGCCACCGTTTTACACGGATACCAGCGAAGAAATGTGTGCCTGGCCAGCCAGCACGGAGGTGAGTGGTGCTAAGAGCTATCCTTGTACTTATATTCTTTCAGATACGCTCACGAGAAAAGGTCACTTCACCACACGAGCTTATCCTGCCAGTCGATTAAATGCCGTTGTAACCGCCATTTTCCAGGGAACAAACGCTACCTGCCACCGAGATCATCACACCTTGTCCGCCCCATCTGGTCACGCTACCTCAATGAACATCTGCATGGCAGTGGGGGCGTGGAACCACTCTTACTACGCGAACACACAAGCAGCGAGGACCAGATGGGATACCGTATGATTGGAACTGGGAGAGTCTGCTGCAATATAATTTTGCGAGAAGGTCCGATGTTGTGCTACTGTGCCACATTCGTGCATGACTTCACAGCCCCGCTATCGCGGAGTACGTCATTTGCTTCGAAGTCAACTTTCTTCTCTACTCAACACGTACAGCTCCGACTATAGCTGGATTGAATCGATTCTCTTCAGCACCGGATTTATGTGCAACCGATCCTAATGCATCTCTGCGATGTCTGTCTCGCTATGCGTCCGATTCTTTATCGGGCCTCTTCTCAGAATGACACGCCCCTCGATTGGTACAAAGTTCACTATGATGGTTTTGCATCCTTGTTTAGAGCATCAAGAGCTGGTTGTTACATCTGTAGAAGACTATGGCGCAACTACCATTCCAACGTGCGCTCCACAAGACGCATGGAGGTACATCCCGCCACATTTTACATAGCTGAAACAGCTGCACAAGGCGGAGAAGACCCGCGGCACACTGCAAGGCTCAAGATTTATCGAAAGGGCCAAGAATATGACAAAGAGCCTGTGGTACTTCTCGACGTCTTCTACTACATACCCTACACCCCGAGTACGTTACCGGCTGATATTTGTGATGATGCAGTATACTAATCCAATAGACACGCTCACGAATCTGCGAAGTCACCTACCCTCCAACTCACGCTCTCCAGAAATCCTGCACTTGGTCCAGCGATGGCTCAACCAATGTCGAACGTCCCACAAAAGCTGTCAAGAAGACGCAGAAACCACGTGGTATCCAACAAGATTGCTTCAAGTGATGCCAAAAGTATCTGACTCTAGGCTACTTATTACGAAAGGCCGACGTCTGCGACATGGCTATGCGACTCTGAGTCACTGCTGGGGCTCCAAACCGATCACCAAGTTGGTCTGCGCCAATCTAGCTCAATTCCAACAACAGATCAAGTTCGAGGCACTTCCGAGGACTTTTCAAGATGCAATCTCCCTCTGCAAATTTCTTGGTTTGAAATATATCTGGATAGATTCATTGTGCATAGTACGGGATCTTACCGAACTACAACGACTTGATGCTGACTATATGCTATCAGATACAGGACGACAAAGCGGACTGGCAAGCAGAATCAGTACAGATGCATAAAGTCTACAGTCACTCTACGCTGAATTTGTCAGCGTCTGGAGCTCAAGATGCAAGCGAAGGCTTCTATTTCGAGCGTGATCCAGTATCAATTGGCCCGCATCCAATCTGCCCTCTCTCCGCCAATTCAGAAGGGCAGCCTCTATACAACGACCACACAGGCGTCAGCTGGCACATCGTACACGAAGACTTCTACGGAGAGGTACTTCAGAAGACGGCAGTCTTTCACCGAGCATGGATATTCCAAGAACGACAACTGTCTAAAAGAGTACTACATTTTGGTCAAGAGCAAGTGTTCTGGGAATGCCGGACTGACAATTATTGCGAGTCATTCCCCGAAGGTCTCCCCGCTATTCTCACAGTTTCTACTGGCACTCTACTCAAACCCATGTACGAGCAATCCAAGGCCTCTTTCTCATCACCTACCCCGGTACACAGGCGTCTTCCAGGAATATCAAGACGACCAGCTGCAGTGCAAATGCAAATGGTTTGGCAGGCTTTAGTAACCGATTACTCTATTGCCAAGCTCACCTACCCCAACGACAAACTAGTTGCGATAAGTGGAATGGCGCGAGACGTATGGAACATCTGGCACGGGAGGATCAAAGGCCATGTCAGGTACATTGCTGGGCTTTGGGATATTCATCTTCCCGAGGCGTTGTTATGAAGATCCGTCAACCCGGACGACACACGCTCGGAGAAATATCGAGCGCCGACGTGGTCCTGGGCTGCCATCCAGGGTTCGATCGCTTGGGAAGGAGACATATGGTCTGATGAATATAGGTGCGTCACTACTATCCTAGATGTGAACATAGATCACTTATGGGATGAATGGGGGGAAGTGACATCCGGGAATATCGTGGTCAAGGGCCCACTCTGTAAGCTACGATGGAAAGAAATCGATGTTGCTGTCCGCTTCCTCGGACTTGACAACGGTGAAGAGACACAATACAACGTGGCGATCTATGGAGATGCTGGGTGGCAAGATGAGACTGAAATTTGGGGTGATTACTTGTATGGACTTCTTATTGTTCGCTTCCGGAATCCTACGCCCCGACGAATATGCATGCTAGTCTTGAACCCGGTACCTGCAATTCCTAATACTTTCAGTCGGGTTGGCGTCGGTTATCCAATGTCGCGCTCGGAAGTAAACTGGTTTGACGGATGTGTCGAGCAGACGATTACGATCGTTTGACGATATGAGGTAGTCTGGCTATCAGAGTGTAGTTAGCAATCAACCATCAATTCGACATGACTGGTCTAGCCTACCATGATATGCTTTTTGGTGGCCATAGACTTCCAGACTAAGAGACGTGGCAGATACATAATGCTTTGCCAACGCTTTTGTCTTCGATCCAGCGACATTGTAGCCCCCTACCCACTTAGCTGCTTGAGATATCTGCAAGGGTCTCAACGACAACTAGAATTTGGTCCCACTCTTTTGATAAGGTTTCGTCGTCTCGGGCGGGCGGGACTGCTGCTCCAAAAGCTGTCAAAAGACGGTCGAGTTCTTGGAGTCCTTCAATCACGCCAATTTTCGGACAAGGTCCTTGCTTCAAGAATTTCTCAAATGTCTCTTGGGCTGACTGTATAACGTTGATAGTCTTCGTAAAGCTGTGGTGTGGTGATATGCATGAAGCGAATAGGTTCCTGCTACGTTGAACGAGGTACCCGAACTGCAATTTGTCGACCATGTACTCTGAATGAGTTGCAGCTAAGTGGGAGATAGAGACCGTGGTCTGAAATCGATGAGGGGGGGCTTCCTAGAGCGGTTCGTCTGGTATCGTCTCGGATGGGGAGGTAGCGTACAGAAAGGCGTGCGTGGTGATAACCAGATGCCACTCCCCTCCACTCTTATACCAGACATATTCATACGGTGATTCATACGTATAACAGTCACCTACAGTGTTGTGACTGTGTGGTGGCTGCGTGGTGTTGACTCTTCGCCATGTTAGTCACATTTGACTCTTCACCGCACAGCCCACTATGTCTTTCATCCCATCTTTTACCAGATGGAAGGAAGTTGAAGAATTTGAGAGGAGGTTAGAATGGTACTGTAGCATCATACAAGGTGGTTCGGGGGGCATGTATCGGGTGTATATCACTTGAAATAGGGCAGTGTCGGACCGCACTTTAGAACGGTATGGGGAGGTTTTGGGGGTAGATATGGTATGTATGTCACCCAAACATCGACTGGTATCGGAATCACACCAGCATAGCTCTATATGTTCTCAAAGGACGGGTTCAAGAGGTAGATACGGGATGCATGTTCTCTGAAATCGACCAGTGCGAGACGTCTACATCGACCTCTCTCACGACGGAATCAACAACCTCATCACACCCAGGATATACTTAAGTCTTCTTACAGCCTCGTTTTAATCATCTAGAAACGTATGTATCCATATCGCTGCACTGTGAACACACCTAACACCACCGCAATCTACTCGAAGCTCTACACGTTACATCATAACCTCTCGAAGATAATTCACTTCACACAAGGTATTCCTGAAGCCTGCTTACGGTTTTCTAGGAAATGAGAGCATAAGAGATACGCTAGGACAATTTCTGTATTAGTGTTCGCTACAGACTCACCTTCACTTCCGAAGTTCGACTAATGCGCAAGTAGTCTGCACCACCTCTTCCTCTCACTCGACCTTTCTTCTGTCTCTACACCACCACGAGTACCCCAATTCGAAAGCGCCATGACGGAAAACCCGCAAGAATCTCAAGCTGCACCTGTGCTCGGGTAAGTAGTTCACTCCGCACGGCTGGATCTATCGCAGTTACTAACACATTAGATAGTATCGCTACAACAGGCGAAATCGTCACCATCTTCGTCGGCCCCGAGAAGAAGCGCTACAACCTTCACAAGGACATCATCTGCCACCACTCCGAGTATTTTCGAGTCGCCTACAACGGGCGATGGAAAGAGGCGGACGAGGGTGTGACACTGGAGGACGTCGAAGTCCCGGTGTTCAACGTCTTCGTTCACTGGCTATACACACAGCAAGTACCGGAAAAGACTCTAGACTTGGGAAAAATCGCCAATGTAGACGGAAAACGTGCAAATTATAGCCATGATGACATCTTGCTCAAAGCATGCGCGTTTGGGAATCGCTTCCTTGCCACAGACTTTGAGCGTGTCTCTCATAATCACTTTGTTGATCATTCTGCACGATTTGCGTGTGGTGTAGCATACAAGGACATCATATTCGCTTACGAAAACCTACCAGATGACAGCCTACTCTTGAAGATGCTGGTCGAAGTACAGAGCCGGTTGTGGGACGCCTCTGGTGACGACGAAAAGGAGGAGCAAATGCGGATCAGCCTGCCGAAAGAATTCCTCATCCAGGTCATGATCAGGCAGGCTGAGCTCCGCGTTTGGAGCGAAAAAGACGAGTGGAAGATGAAACCAGGAGACTTCTACATGCAGGAAAAGACTGGAGAGATTGGCGAATGACGCACAGGTCCACGCTTGGACTCTGACATCTCCAATTGTATCTGAAGCGGCTACCACCTCTACAGTTCCTATGAGGAAAGGAAGCCGTGTTAGCGATAGAAAAAGAGATAAGGGTGTCAAGGAGAAGTGTTGAAGAAAGAGCGAGATGCATGTGCAAACGTAGGAGGGAAGATGACGTAATAACCGGGGCAATGTCTACCTAGTACATACAGACCCTGTAACATACTTCGAATGCAGCTCAGGACTTAGCTCAGTTGTCTGAAACATGTCCCCTTGTTTATCCTCTTCTACGTCATTGGAGTGAAGTCGCATGCTGCAGAAACGTCTATGAGATATGGACTAGCGTTACTTCCGATTCGGAAGGCGCGAGCAGGTAAAGCTGCGTCACTTCTCTCACAGAGGAACTATTCGGCTTCACCGCAAATATAGTACTGAGATACATGTTAGTGGGGTTATTTGTTCTCCAGCTCCTCTCACCACCTACATCTCTCAACAACCCAACAACGTACCACCCCAATCCAGAACGATCCTCAAAAATGACCCGCATCATGTATGTGCTTACAGGGCGCAAGAAAACTACAGACCTAGCAGCTAACGTACACCAGCGAAGCCAGCCAGGGAGAGGTCGTCGCCATCGCTATCGGGCCCTCAAAAACCATTTTCCGCATCCACGAATCCCTCCTCTGCAGCAAATCAGAGTACTTCCGCACAGCCTATAATGGTCGATGGAAAGACTCTACCGACGGAGTCGTACTAGAAGACGTGGATGTAGGCGTCTTCAAACTCTTCGTGAACTGGCTATACACATCCAAAGTGCCCGAGAACTTCGACGATCTCTCAACCATGACCGGTATGCCACAATGCGTATCAGGCGAGTCCACAACGGCCGCTTTCCTGCTCCTCAAAGCATGCGTCTTCGGCGACCGGTTCCTCGCATACGATTTCTATGAGCGAGCGCACAATACGTTTGTTGACTGGAATGTCCTCAATCCCGGTTGGCCTTGGGTTGACCTGGGAGATGGTCGATTACGCGTTCGAGAATCTAGCGGATGATACGCCTTTGCTAGCCATGATGGTCAACCTGCAGTGTGTGTATTGGAAGCGGGGTTGGGAAGAGGAGAAAGAGCTGTTTGCGAGCCTACGCAAGGACTTCTTGTTTAGGGCTATGCTGAGATCCATACATTTCAGAGAGAATCCTATGAAGATTGGGGATATGAAGGAATGCGAGTATCATGTTCACCCGACGGAGGCAGAACGGGAGTGGTGTCAGAATCAAGAGAGGGAGAGATTTCCGGAAGACTGAACAAGGAAAAAAAGCTCCATTCGATACTAGGGTATAAGATGAAGAAGCCAAAATACCACAAACCCACCCACCCATCCAGCCCAACCCCATACTAACGCCACCCTCCTATCGTCCAAGAGTCACCAGTACCAGTAACCGTATTCCGTACTGCCCTATTAATCCGAATATCGTGACACAGCCCACCCGCCAATCCTAACCCCATCAACGCCAATGTTGGTATCTCGGTTATCATAACTTTGTACTCGTGCACGTGCTTCAGTGGGACTGACTCAGGTCTGAGCGTTCGGTGTCGGTTTATCCTCATGTTCCTCAACGATCGGGCTCGCTGGCGCCTCATCCTCGTCGCTTGCTTCCCTCGCGTCTTTCCACTCTGAGCTCTTCCGGCTGATGCGGGCGGGACCCATGGGGTTTTCGCGGGGGCTGGCGAGCGGGCTGGTGGGCGTGGCGCGCATGCTGCTGATACTATCAGTGCGGCCGTGGCCAAGGAGTCCGCTGCGCACGCTGAGTCCATCGGCTTGCTTGGTCGCGTAGTAGCTGTTGCGTTCGCTGGGCAGGACTGGGGCTGTGACGCCAGACGCTGAGTAGACACTCGCGCGCTCGGCGTTTACGAAGGCGCTGACGTTGCTTGGCCTGCCGGAGGGCGAGTATATGGCGTCGGGGTTCGCTGATAGTACGCTGAGGGGCAGCGATTCGCGACTGCCGCCGTAATGCGACGACGGGGCTAGTGCGCGCATCGAGGCATTGGTATCTACGGAGTTGCGACGGCGGCGCTTCGAGGAGGAGGCGAGTGTGAGGATGGACGCGTTATCGGTGAGGATGTTGTTCGCGGTGGCGCCCTGATATGAGTTGGGCTGCTGCTGCTGCGGCTGCTGGGGCGCCAGATGCGGCGGTATGGCTGACGGCGGCGGGGAGGTGGGGAACTGGTGCGAGAAGTGCACAGGCGTGGTGCTTGTGGTTGTCGCATTGTTCTGGGGTTGCGCTTGGCCGAGGTTGAGGATATTCGAGGGCGCGGTCGATTGTATGGTGGTCAGGGTGGTGGTGAGAGAGTGCTCTGAGCCGTGCGGGGACGAGAAAGTGCTGCCGCCGTTGACAAAGTTGCTGCCGCCTGTCTCCGCCTTTGACCTTGACGAGTGTACTGTCTCTGGGACTGTGGCTACCGTGGGGGCGGTGGACTTGTTGCTCTTGTCTATCGCCTGTCGCTGTCCGGCCGCGGGCTCCTCTATGGACGTATAGCTGTCGTGCGATCGTAATGTGGCCGGGGTCGTGACGGACGAGTTGTCGGCGGGCGGTATGTTGGTGTTGATGTAGCCAGACTCAGGATAGGGGTTGTTCTTTGGAGCGCCTTTCTTGACGGTGTTGCCCTTCTTGCCTGGGGCGTCGGAGGATGAGGGCTTGAGATTGGCCAGGCGCTTCATCCAACCCGCAAAGGGTCGCTTGCGCGCATGTCGGTCTTTGTATCGCGTTAGCATGGTGAGCATTATTTGGTGAGGAGAGAGTGGGCGTGGCGTAGGGAGGATATAATTTGGGTAGTTGTCTGAGACAATGGCTGTGCAAGACTAGTTCACCGTACCATGGGGTCTCGATGCAGCTTCGGCCGTAGCCATTATGCCGGCTGCCAAATATAGAGTGCCGGTGGTGAGTGAAGGAGGTCGTTGGGCTACTTAGGCGCGGGATGCCACGTTTAGTCTGACGATCCCACGTCGAATCTACTGGAGTAATGGGGACGCGGCTGTCGGTAGCGCGGTGTGCGTCGTGAAAGCCAGCGCAGGCGGTCGGGCGCAATTATCGAATGGCGAGACAGCAAGTCGTATCGCTGCTATCAGTAATCCGAGGCGATTGAGGCAGTCTGAGTTACGCGGTTGGGGCCGGGAGGTTGCGCTGATGGGGAAAGAGCGAAGAGCTGCTGGTCGCTCCTGCTCATATCTCCGGCTGGACCCTGACCCTTTTCCCCAGCGCACCTGCCGCCCGCCGCGCTAAGCCGCCATGTTCCCTTCACGACACACGATTGCGTATGTTCTGTAGATCTCCATGTTATCGCCCACCCAAACTCAACACTGATCACGGCGCGACCCCTTAACATGATCAAACACGGGTCATCAAACATCGAGGGCTGAGGGGGCGCCCGCCAGACCTACCACTACGTCATGACCCGAAACACGTCCATTGGCGCCAAACATACTATCCCCAATGCTCCCACGCGAACTATACTGCCCCTGCCCGCCGAGGTGATCGCCCAAATCAAGTCGTCGACGGCAATTGTCTCGCTTACGGGAGTTGTGCTGGAGCTCCTGAAGAATTCCTTGGATGCGAAAGCGACCAAGGTAGAAGCCGCGATTGACTTCGCGCGCGGCGGATGCTCGGTCGAAGATGACGGTCTCGGCGTATCTCCCCTCGAGTTTCGCGAAGAAGGAGGCCTGGGCAAGCTCTACTGTATGTGTGCACGCCGGAAGCCATCTAGATAGAGAATTGACGGCGACAGGCACGTCCAAGTACCATGCGACCGAACCTCTCCTTGGCCGCAATGGCACCTTCCTCGCGTCACTCGCTGCTATGTCACTCCTGACCATCTCCTCGCACCACTACCAACACCGCTCACATAACGCGATAACGTTCCACCAATCCAAGGTCATGGAGAGGCAACTTCCGGCGTCGGCGCATCACGAGATATCAGGCAAGCATGGCACCCGCGTCACCGTGCGGAACTTGTTCGGCAGTATGCCCGTGCGCGTGAAGCAACGGTCGATAATCTCTCAGCAAAGAGCCGAACACGACAGACTCTGGGATGGGTTGAAGAGGGGCGTAACGAGTCTCTTGCTCAGTTGGCAGCGTCCGGTCGCTATTCGAATACGGGACGGTGACAACAGGGTGGTGCTCAGTCTCAGCATATCCGGCGTGGAAGCAGCCACGAAGAGAAAAGAAAGTGAGATTGCGAAGCCACGATCGGCACAGCTCTCATCAATCCTCAACGTATTGACCCAGGCCAACTACATCACCGTCGATGAGTGGGCGTCGTGGGTACCAGCGTCGGCTTCCACATCTGCCATCTCGATCAAGGGCGCTATATCACTCACTCCAGCACCCAGCAAGCATGTTCAGTTCATCTCCCTGGGCATACGACCGCTTTCAGCGGAGGCCGGCCACAATGAACTTTTCGACGCAGTTAATCGCCTCTTCGCATTGTCCAGCTTTGGTACTATCGAGGAAGATGCCGACATTGATGAACAAGAGAGATTTCGACGGCAGACAGACAAACGCTTCAAGCAGGATGGCTATACAAACAGGCAGCTTAAAGCACGCAAAGACGTCGACAGATATCCCATGTTTCACCTTCGCATCTCGTTGAAGGAGGCTCGCAGGAGAAGCGTTTCCGAAGATCAGTTCATCGGAGATGAAGCGAACCTACAGAACGTGATGGAGGTCCTGGATGCAATGGTAACTCAATGGTTGTCGGTCCATCACTTTAGACCCCAGCATCCTCGTAAGAAACGCGAACGACCTGGTACTGCTTCTAGCGCTGCTGAGGACGCTGCTGTCAATACGCCATTCACGGATAGCAGTACAACTAACATGGCTTTCCGAGTACACGATACAAGAGTGCGCTCGGCAACACCACAGCAAAGCTCAACTTCGTCACAGTCTCTCAAGAGGAAACGTCCAGAAAGGTTATCGTCACGTGAGTTGGTCGACAGGTCTCGCTCTGGGGCTTTTGCAGAGTGGTCGCGGATCAAGAGTGGAAAGCCCGAGTTCTTCAGCAGCACTCTAAACGCGCCGAAATACAACACCGGATTCGATATTTCACGTGGCGCGAAACCCGAAGCTTTCGCCCACTTCGACGTAGCGCCGCTACCTCAAGGTGCTTTGAGCGGACAGGAACAGCGCGACGAAGTTTCGATGCCTGCAGAGACTCTGCAAACCGATGACAAGGAGAACGACGATACCATCTTGTGGACTGATCCAACGACTAAGAAGACGCATCTACTAAACGCTAGAACAGGCTGCGTGGTCCCTGACGCTCGCACGCGACCAAGTACCGACTCAGCTATACTCTCGAATTCGATATCCCAGAACGCATCGAATAAGTCAATGCGATTACCGACACGGGCTGCGACGGCTGTGGCTGGCAAGACACCCTGGCTTGACGATGTACTAGACACGTGGGAGAACCCAGTCTTCAAGCCAAGTGAGAAGCGTGTACAACAAGCTGTGTTGCACGAAGATGAGGCCGGCCACGGACACCATCATTCCAGACATGGTTGTTATCGTATTGATATCGACAAGGCTTTCAACCAGACTACAACAAACGGCTCTAGTAGACTGTCAAAAGAAGGGCTGCAAGACGCGCAAGTCATTGCGCAGGTCGACAAAAAGTTCATCCTTGTCAAGATGCGAGATTCACAGCGAGTAGAATCTGCATGCGCGGGTCTTCTCGTGTTGATTGATCAGCATGCAGCAGATGAGCGTGTGCAGGTCGAGTCGCTCCTAAGCCAACTTTGCCACCCGGAACATGAGCAAACAGGATACCAGTCTAAGCTTGGGCACCAGGCGCAGGTAGCCTCCGTCGTTCTGGATAAACCAACGCAAGTCGCAATCTCTCCGCAGGAACGAACACACTTCACAACGCATGCCGCGCGTTTTGCAGCATGGGGTATCCTCTACGATGTCCTCCAGACAACAGCGTCTGCATCTCGTTCCAGCACCACCGACAAGGAGAAGTATGTCTTGTCCGTGACAGCTCTTCCCACTGGTGTATCCGAACGATGCAAAGCCGACCCCAAGGTTTTGATATCCTTTCTCCGCTCAACGGTGTGGAAGTACGCCGAAGATCCACATCTTCCCCATCTGTCCGTACTACCTAACTCATCAACAAACGACCCCGCCGATTGGGTAAGACGTCTAGCCACCTGCCCACCTGGCCTCATCGATCTCATCAACTCGCGCGCATGTCGGTCAGCTATCATGTTCAATGATGAGCTTAGTAGCGATGATTGTAAGGCTTTGGTGAAGAACCTGGCGGGATGTGTCTTCCCGTTCATGTGCGCGCATGGCCGGCCTAGTATGGTGCCGCTTGTTGATTTGGGCGGTTTGGGCGAGGTAGCTAGTGGCTTGGGCGGTCGCGATGAGGCGGCGGAGGAGGTCGGGTTCGTAGACGCTTGGAAGAAGTGGAAGAAATGAATGTTAACGCCCGAACCTATGTGTCATACCTGACCACGGCGCACAAGCCCATAGCGCACGACCGTGCCAACACACAGACCCTGCCACTGAAGACTCATCGCGCACGACAGCCATCAACAACATCTTCTCGATGAACATGATACTGACTGCTTACACAGTACAGTAGCGCCCCATCGCAAGCATGAACAGCTTGATCGCCGGAGTCAGATACCTCGACTCACGCGTACTCGGGGTCAGCATGTCTAGAAGGAACAGTCATGGTGAAGTATAAAAGCTTGCCGATGTTGACACGCGCTCACGACCACTCCAGGATAAGTTTGCATCCAGCAGCGACACACCACTCGGAACTTGACTAAGCGTTATATACCAGCACGGCGTCAGCCATGTCAACAACAAACGAAGCCAACACTGTTGGAAGACTTTGCCAAGCAGTAGATCAGTTCCACAAAAACCCGGAATATCAGCCTCTGTATACAAGAGAAGTCATCAAGTACAACGTCGAGCAGTTCGCCTCGCTGAAGCACAAGGATGATACATGTGTTCTGAAGGGGGCAAGCGGGCTAGAGAATCGCGGTATGAATCTATTTTACACATACCCCGAACTGTAAGTGCATCAAGTCTGGAGGTGTAAGCCCAGCGAAAGCAATGGTCTTGGCTAACTAGTTGATCGCATAGTCTATACGACGGGACGGACGAGATTTGCTTCTGGACATACCTCGAAGTTGCTTCTGAGCTCGATCTGCCGCCATGGGAAGAATTGGAGCCACATCGCCGTCCCTGCTTGACAACCATGGTTCACGCGAAGATTTTTATGTACATTCGTCCTCTTTCCCTTCGCAGCCTACCCCCATCACTTCCGCGAACGAAGAATTTGAGACATTCATACGAGATATGGACGAAGAGCGAACTTCGGAAAGGATACGAAAACGGCCTAGCACATGCGTGGAGCCTCACATCTCCAGCTGGAAATGTCGACCAGGTCGTCTGCTTCGGTCTCGGCGCGCTGTTCGACACCGATAATGGCGAGGACGACCCAGATAGACTCTGTCGGACCGACCCGAGACTGAACAAGTACCGTACTTTCCTCGCTTTCGAAACAACCAGGATGCTGAATAGGTCCTTCAAAAACAGGGGCGATGCTCCAGCCCCGATTATTTTCCATGACCCAGATTACACACAACAAGACCGGAACGGTATGACAGCATTCGCAAACTACGTGGGCGTACAGATAAGCTTCATGGACAAATGCGAGGCCCTCCTCAAAGTCGACCAATACACCCTCGTACTGGCACATGGCCTACCTCAGTTGCCTATTCGCTCGCTCATCGTAGACATCATGAACAAGGAGGAAGGGCCAGCGGGCTTCTTCTGCGAAGACATTCCCTCTCACATCAAGACCTCCAAAGATGAGGTGACCTGGTGGGTCGAGCACCAAAGCCACCCTGACCCACCTACAAGGCGTTTGCATATCATGACGGAGAAGTGGGATATGGCGGATGTATGTCGTATTCCTTCTTGGCAAGCGACATTGTACCTGAAGCGTGAGAATGTCGGGAAGTACATTAAGACGGAATGATGGCTGCGTCGTCGACGACAGTGAAGAGCGGGGCATGGATTAGCTCTGAATGTATGAGAAACTCATAGCCATTCTGATGTGCTGTCATGATACAGCCAACTCTAGAATCGCACACCCTCCTATCCCAAACAATCCTCCGCAACCAACCTCATCAAACTTCTCTATCAGCCCAAGACTGAATAATTCCCTCGTCGCTCTCCTCATACTCCTTGCACTCGGCTCCCCCCTCCACCGTATACACAAGAGAGGTATTTCCCTGCACAAACTTCATCCTCCGCTCCGGCCTTGTCGCCACTACCTGCCTCCAGACCTCATAAACCCCTTCTACATTCGTCAGGCTCTCATAAAACGGTCGGCACGCCTCGACATCCGCTGTGCACCGCCAAATGTGCAGGTTACACATCATGCGTCCCAAAGCTGGTTTGCCGTGCGATAAGATCTTGCTACGGTCGACGGTAACATGTAGGTTGGACGTGTTTGCGTCGTGGTGGACGGTTATGACGCCATCGCCTTCGATAAGGAGCTGTTTGAAGATGGCGAAGTAGCCTTGGCTGTGGGCTTGGGTCCACTTCTTGTCATCGGGGTTGTAGTGTTCTAGAGAGCGCAGACCTTCGACGCCGAGGTGTAGATAAAAAAGAAAGACCAGGTTATCAGCCGTCAGGACACTACCTTCGTTGTATCCGAAGATGCCGAGTATTTCTTTGTTATCGATGAGATACGCTGACATGAGGATAGCCCGGCATTCCTCAACCGATTGCGCAATGTCTTCGAATATGCTGGAATATGTTTCGTTTGGGCGGTACCATGACTCCACATTTCTGCCCGTCAAGGGGCTGATAGGCGGGTTCGTAGCGTCGAAGTTGAAGATACCGGGGGCTGTTTCGCTGAGGAGTTTTCCCGTGCCGTGGCCGAGGAGTTCATGGATGACTGTTGCGACGAAGCGGATGGTATGGAGGTTTTGGCGGTAGAGGTCGCGGTCTGAGGCGTGAAGGTAGATGGATGCGCCGGGGGAGTTGCGGTTTGCTGACATCCGGTTCGCAATAATGATGTTCTTTGAGCCGTGCTTTTCGCGGATGTCGTTGTACTGCACAATAATGAATGAGTAAATAAACCAAGAAGGTAGAGTTGACCGGAGGGACTTACGTTTGGGAGATTTGACGCTTCCCAAACATACGGGCAGCAGACTGTAAGAGCTACATCATCAGCGTTAGCATGAGTCTGTGTAAACAACACTGGCACTTACCATGCACAATAGCACACTGGGGTATGAAAACCACATCCTTCTCGAATAAGCCCTTGCCCTCGTTCTCCACCGTTGCCCGGGGAAGGAGGGTGCAAAACTTCCCCGCACTAGACACAAAGGCTTCCATTTTCTTTGTTTCCTCTGGATCCGCGATACATACCACGCCTTCCCATTCCGCTCGTACGCCATGGGGGTCGCGATAGCATTCTACGAAGCCGAGGATGTGTTCGATCGATGGGGCGACGTCTTTGACCCAGGTTTCCTGGCCTTGTCGATATGCTCCGAGACATCCGGTTACGAGGCTGTAGATGTAGCGTTCAAGCGTCTTCACCTGGTTGTCGTTCTGTGCGTACATGCTGGCGCGACCGAGGCTGTGGTAGTTCGTTAGTCTTGATGTCAGGCCCGGAAATCTTGATGCTGTCATCTATGATTCAGATATCAAAAATGAAATAGACTTACTAGTGGCCAATATTAGACACTTGGTTCCGATGATCTCCTTTCATCAATGTAACTTCCGAGCCGCCAAGGCGTTCTACTGCAGTAAGATCGTGACTGCCTAAATCATACGAGGCCCGGAGAACTTCATAGACAGCGCTTCCATGTTCCGTTCTCTTCCGCACCCTCGTATTCTCAGGCTCATAGCCCTTTTCCTGCATGGTCAGCTGGATTTCTTTGATCTCTGTACGCGTAATGCGGTCGCCCAGGTAGTAGCTCGACACCGCAGTATCGCTCGGATATCCAAGACCCTGCGGGTGTACTGCGGTCATAGCCTCGACAAGGTTTTCAGCAGCAGGTTCTGTCATGCCCACGCATCCCACGATCTTCTCCAGAGACTCTTTGCTAAGATCAGGCACAAACTTCTGACCACCCTCACCCTATGCAGTCAGCACATAATCTCATCTTCTCTCACAACTGCTGGCGCTTACATAGAAGTTTCCGAGATTGTACAGGAAGAGCCCGGCATAGCTCAAAAAAGTCTTGACTTCGTCGTCGGTCACCGCGCATACTCCCTCGAACTGGCTCCAATCGCCCTCGCAGGCACGATAGGCCCTTATGATGAAGTCGAAGATGTCTTCCGATTCTGAAGAGGTCTGGCGCAGAATGATGCGCGCTCCATGCCAGGCTGCTTGCGAGAGATAGTGAGCGTAGAGCTTGTCGCGAGGTGGGAGGCTGTCAAAGAGAGGCTTAATTGCCAGACGATGAATTGGAGAAGCCTGGTCAGGCACTCGAGCGCGATTGGAAGCCATTGCGGAATGGTATGATGAGGTCGTGAGTAAAATGCACGCAGATGGAGCGACTCTAATCCCGCGTCGCTGTGCGTTTGCATAGGCTGCACGTGATCGAAGCAAACGCAGCCATCGATGCATTGACCCTTGACATCAGGTTTGAGGCATTTCGCGGTCGAAAGGGAATCCATGTTCGCACCATGGTCTTTCGCGGCGCACGAGAATACGTAGAGCTTGGCTCAAGCTACGTTGGCGTTCGGTGACTGTTCGTACGACATTGGGTGTTGGATGTTGGATGTTGGATATTGCTCGATCAGTACCATATCCTCGGTTAGTGTTGGTTATGCTTTTACTTGTTTTTCCGAGTCTTTTACTCCGTTCTGGCAAAGAAATGACGCATTAGCGATGGGTCAAGCTCGTCCCCAAACACGCAGCTGCACCGTGAACAAGAACTGGGAAGATGGTCGAAGCGATCGAGCACAACACGTCAATATGGCGCGGTATTGGCGACGTATGAGTTGCACCCAGAGAGCTAGCGTAAGAAGTTATAGAACGATCTATAGAGAACTTTCGGAGGAGCGAGATTTCAAGTAGAATTGCTTCGTTGTCAGTAAGCCAGCAGCGATGATCTTCGATGAGTGGGTGCTCCATGTGGACGCGCATACGTTCGGCATCCGACCATCTGAACTAAGAGCAATTGCGATGTAGACGGAAGGGTGTTTTGAGGTTCAATTCGAGCATCGGTTCTTTGCGATACTATCATCTGAGAAGGCGGGCATCGCTGTGTTTGATGGAACAGTGTGGCTTCGATGCCAGCTGGAGGAACGCGCTGAAGTTTAGCGTGGAAGATTCGCGATGAGCTAGTCCTAGTTGGGTACAGTCACGTGGTCAACATCCATCATCAATCCCGTCGACGTCGCATTGCTCTCCGCCTTCCACCTGCATGTACTCTACTCCCCTTCGATGAATACGCAACTGTTCTATCGATGATCGCGATACGAAAGCCGCATCACAGAGGCGCCGTGCCTCACGATTGCCCACCGCAGCTATCACTCCCTATCAACGGACGGCACGCTTTTGACTATGGCGCAAACCATTAGATCGCTACAACAGGTGCAGACATCATCTAGGGAACCCCAGGGAACCTGGCAAATAAGCGAGCGCGTCGTTCAAGCTTGCATCCTTCCCTTTGCCGACGCTGACATCGCAAAGTCGAGTCAACACACGTCATTCACCAACTTCATTAACCCGAACATCTCAACAGCCAAGCCTCCACTCCGCTGCTGAAGCGGATTTCGTAGGTAACAATGCATGAAGCTAAGCCCGCGAAGCGAACTCTTACTCCAACAAACGACCTGTCATAGCCGGATTGAGTAAAGATGTGCGCTGCACCCCGCGATTCGGGAGACGTTTGGCGGGGATCTATCATTGGAGAATTGGAGGGGATGCAACGATAAGAAGGTTGAGCGTGTGTGTGCAGGGCACGGTGTTTCAGTGAGCCTGCCACGAGAAATCATGTCGTTCAAAGAGAAGGATCTTGAAGCCGAGCGGAAGGAGCATGTCAGTGTTCATCCAAGCCCTCCTGGAACGATGCGCTGACGACAGAAGATCTCGTTCGACGAGAAAAGCTATGGCGGTAGAGACGACCGTGTCAATCTCGACGATATTGTAGTCTCAGCGAATGACTCCTCGGGACCGGCATCGTCACCTATCGAAAAGGATGATAAGGAAACACGTCGCATCATTCGAAAGATAGATCTCAGGCTCTTGCCAACCCTAGCTGTCATCTATGCTTTCGCACTCATCGACCGCGTTAACCTTCCAAACGTACTGCATACTCTCAGCCATCGTTGCGAATCACATGCTGACTCATATTCCAGGCGCGTATCGCAGGCATGGACGAGGACCTGGGTCTCTCCATCGGTTCACGCTACTCGATACTCACGATGATCTTCTTCATACCATACATAATCTTCCAGTTTCCGGCAAACATAATCATTCGAAAACTCGGCCCTGCCGTATGGCTACCATCTTTGGTCGTTTGCTGGGGTGCTGTGACGATCGGCATGGGCTTTACTAACGACTGGACACAAGCACTAGGATGCCGAGTTATACTGGGTGTGCTCGAAGCTGGCTATTATCCTGGCTGTGTCTTTCTGCTGAGCTGTTGGTATGTGAGGTTTGAAGTGCAAAAGAGATTCAGTGGGTTCTACCTACTAGCGCTCCTTGCAAGTGGTTTCTCAAACATCCTGGCTTGGGGACTGAGCGAGATGCGAGGCCTAGGAGGGCTGAACGGATGGCAATGGATCTTCGCAATCGTAAGTTAAGCCCTTGTCTACCTACCTACATCAACTACTGACATATCCTAGGAGGGCGCAATCACCGTTCTACTAGGCTTCATGGGCTACCTAACCATAATAGACTTTCCTGACAAAGCCAGCCAACCCAGCCCGATCACGAAACGCCCTTTTTTGACCCCCGCGGAAGCCAACATAGTTCTAGCCCGCATCCAACGCGACCGTGGCGATGCCGTCGCCGATAAACTCACCCGTTCAACCATCGCCAAACATCTCCGCGACTGGAAGATCTGGGAGTTTGCGTGGCTCTACTTCCTCAACAACGTCGTCGCATACAGCTGGGGATACTTCCTGCCAATCATCCTCCGCAACGACATGGGTTACTCTGTCGCCATGAGTCAGATCCTTTCTTTCCCGCCATACGTCCTGGCTGCGGCATGGATGTTTGGTACGGCATGGGTCGCCGATAAATACAGAATGCGCGGTGCAATTATCGTGTTCAACTGCGCATGGGCTGTTCTGGGTGTATGCATGATGGCTTTTCTCAGCAACGCTCGCGCACGGTATGCCGGAGTCTTTCTAGGCGTCAGTGGTGCGAACGCGAACGTGCCGAGCATATTAAGCTATATGCACAACAACATCGTGGGTCAGATGAAGAGGAGTGTTGCTAGTGCGCTGTTGATTGGAGGAGGAGCTTGTGGGGGTATCGCAGCGTCGAACATCTTTCGACAACAGGATGCGCCGAAGTACATGTAAGTACCCTGCATCATGATGTATGGGGATATGAAGCTGACTTGTATAGACCCGCCATGGCTGTAGTTATCGCGACCCAAGTCCTGAGCATACTACATGTGCTGAAGAACTTCTGGGTCTACTCACGAGCTAATCGCCAGGCTGATCGCGGAGAGAGGATTCTGGAGGGCCAGGAAGGCTTTCGACAAACGCTGTAAATTTTGGGTTGTACTGCCTGCCACTATGCCAGCGTACGATGAAGATCACGAATATATGCCGCTACGCTATGCTATGCCATGCTATCAAACTCATCAAATAGTACGCGACGTGACAGCTTCCCCTCGCAGCAGAGATCCCAGATTCTGCACGCCAAAGCGAGACTAACCCATCAATCTCCGCCGCCTCCCACTGTCAACGCTAACAGTGTTGTCTGGCCCGATGCTGATACTCAAGCTGCTGGTATCGTCTTCGCTTGGAGCCCTCCTCCTGTCCCTGTCTCTGTCTCTTCCACTCACAGCCTGGCTCTTGCTCCTCTCGGGTTGTATGACCAGCCACGTTGAGCCGCCTCCCTCATGCTCTTGCTCCATGAGCTGCAGTTGTGGTCCTCCACCTCTCTCATCTCCTCTTCGCATGTCCCTGTCTCCTCTTCTCACATCGGTTTCGCTTAGTCCTCGCTCGTTTCGGCCGCGCTCTCGACTGGGCTTTGCGTTCTTGGTGGGTGGCGGAGGAGGGAAGAGAGAGGGGAACTTGGCGGTTTTCAGAGGTAGTGTTGTAAGCGAAGAAGGTAGCGGGAGAGATTCAATCAGCGTCAGCTTCTCGAGTGGTATGGAGGTGAGGAGAGAAGCGGGTAGGTCGACGGGCGAGCATGCGACTATCGTGTGCCGTAGGTGCGTGTTCGATGCGAAAAACGACAAGTTTTCTGTGTCATGTTAGAGACTTCGCGACCTTCCACCTCGAGCATGCGTGGATACATACCTCGCACTTTTCTTCCTGCTCCGCCTTCCTTGCCGACTCCAGTGTCGATCCAGTCGAAGCTCGTTATCCTACCGCAGAAGCCAGTCGAGAAGGCTCGTAGCTGACCCAAGTTCCGAACCTTCTCAAGTCGTACAAGGTAGTTGGCCATACCCTCCAAGTTGGCATATATGCGAACGATGATGTCGAGTGAGTCAGCATCTTCGTACAGCTCCCGCAAGTATTCCCTTATCCGTATGTTCAGTTCGTCTGCTAATGCTTCGCCGCCTTGAGCCTTTCGTGTTATGTATTTGTCTTGGAACTGGGACGGTCAGCTAAGATGCACGACTAGAAGTATACTACAACACATACCAGGAAGCCTTCGGCATCGGCATCTATGAGCACCATAACGAACGGCCGTTTGGACTGCGACTGCACTAGAGCCTCTTCTTTCGCCTTGGACTCTGACAGCTGCCCTTGCATCGTCCGCGTGACATCTGCGATTTCCGCTTGCAACGTCCGCCTGACATTTTGTTCGGAGCCGAGGTCGAGTTCACACTGTGCGAGGCGTGCTTCTGTCTTTTCGAGCTTGTCCAGGAGTTCCTACTCCATCGTCAAAACCATGATGGTACCCAGGACGCCATCAGCAGTATACCTCAATAAGCTCGCACCTCTTCTCCTCAAGAATCCTAAACTGCGACAACCGATCGCGAAACGTCATCGGAGGTGGGGCAGGCGGGCCCGCAACAACTAATTCCGCCATCTTCAGAACTGGCAGGCGTCACGCAAGCACCAAAAGGCAGGAAAATTACTAAACGACAGAAAAATCTGGGGATCCTAACATTTAAGAAGACGCGTTGTTTTGGGCTCCCGCGCAGCGCTAGCTAGTTGTTTTGCATCTGCATGGCCCAAAGTACGGTGACGCCGCCGGTGCGAAAGATGGCAGGTTCTGATTGGCTGGGCATGTGGGGGAGTTGGGCTCATACGCTGCCTTGGTGTTGGAAGTCACCGGAAGCATACAGAAGCTCGTGAGCTGGCGGGCTGTGTTCTGGTCACGGATGCATTCTTTACGGCATGCAATATGCGGCGCGAGCCGCAATGGGTCGCGTGAGGCGAAGATGGAGGGGTGATGGGGGCTCTGGAGGAGAGGAGGGGCATGTTGTTCTCACTTTAGCCCCTCGTTTTTCGAAACACACGTCACATTGCTTCTCTGGCTAACGATACAAAGGTGTTGAGGTTTCTAGATACATGCCTCTATGGATCACAGCTTTCTTCCACACATCCAGAATATCCAACGCTTGCATAGAACCCCAACGTCCTTATGACTCACTCACGGAAAAGGCTCATCGGTTACATGACCCGGATAATGTCGGTATCTGGTATCGCAGTTGCCATCACGACGCGACGATCAATCTTTCCTCCAGACGTGCGTGGCAGCTGCTTCCAGATCACGGCGCGGGTCGGACGCATGTAAGCGGGAAGATTGAGGCCGCGAAGCAACTTCAGCAGATACCGGCGCGATGCAGCGTTGATTGTCCCGGTCATGACAACAGCAGCCAGAATCTGTGGTTCTTCCTGCTCCTCATTACTGTGAAGAACCACGACTCCTTCCACCACTCTCCCTTTGGCCTGGTCAACAATTGTCCGCGAGACATCTCCTAACTCGATGTGAAAGCCGTCTACTTGCGCGGTTGACTCGTCCAAGCGTCGCGAGGTAACGAAAAGTACACCAGTATCGTTGATGAACCCCCAGTCCCCTGTCCGAAAACACTTCACACCAGTTCCAGGATGTTTCTGGAAACGATGGTCGTCGGCCTTTGAGCCAAAGTAGCATGGCCCAACACCCGGACCAGCGACCCAGATATCACCAGTCCAAGCTACAGGAAGTGGTCTGCCCAGATGGTCGCCTACCCAGATGTGGTTGTTCGGCAACGCGGTTCCCACAGGGATGAGCTGGCCTTCTTTGTTGCCCGCGTACGCCTTGTAGTCGACAAAGCTCATGGAGGAAGCGATTGTCGTCTCAGTCGCTCCGTAAAAGCTTGCAAGCTCCAGGTTGTTGAGTTGAAGCTCAGTGAAGTTGCGAATAACGCTCGATGAGATGTTCTCTCCGCCACTCAACGCGAGTTTCCAAGATTTGCAATCCTTGAGCATGTGACGAGGATGTTGGAACCAAAGTGAGTAGTCGGATGGTGTAGCAATAGTAGTGGTGATCTTCTGGTGCACCATGACTTTGGTCACATTGGCGGGAGATGAGTCTGCGGCTAGGAAGAGTGTGCCTCCTGACGTTAGGGCGAACAAGATCTGGAAGAGCGACATCTCCGACGTCCAGTTGCTGTGCTGCAGTACGATCGGCTTCTCGTCCTCGAAGTAGTAAGCAGTGGAAGCCACAAGCACCTTCAAATTCTCGTGTGTCAAAACGACGCCTTTTGGCAGACCATCGGACGACGGAAGATGCAGTCCCACAGCAAGATCGTCTGGCAGCGGCTCCTCGATGTTGTCGAAACCTTTCGTGAAGATCATATCGCCGCAGTAGAACACGGTACCAAGTTGGAGTTTTAGTGCGTAATCAACTAGGTCTGGCGTGCTGACGATGCAAAACATAGTGTCGGAGTTCTTAGCGATAGGAAGGTTGTCATCAACGGACAGGTGGTAATCTATCGGAACGTAGACTCCGCCAGCGCACCATATCGCGATGATACTACAAAGAAGATCGATGGTTGGTGGACCAAGCACGCACACAGGAGTACCACGACCGACTTCGTGCTTCTTCAAATCGGAAGACATGGCGACCGCGCGACGTATGAGGTTGACGTAGGTAATCTTTTGGTATTGTTCGTCCTTTACAGCGACACGATCGGGAGTCGTTGTTGCGATCTCCTGAAGCTTCTCGAGGACGCTGCTGAAGGAGACTTGGTGCTCAGGTCCGGCGCCGTGCGCCATACCTTGCTCACGCTCTTCTTGGGGTATAAGGTCCATATCGATGATGCTAGTAGTTTGGCTTTGAGCGACCATTTGCGTCATTGCTTGGATGTACATCTCAGCCACAACTTCAGCATGTTCTTTGTCATACGTCTTCTCGTCCAGGCCAACGAATACGACGAGATTGCGGTCGAGGTTTTCGCGTACAATCAAGACGAGGTCTTGAGCATGCTCGAAGTACATATCGGTAGTCGGAGAGATAGGATACGCACTAGCAATCCAGTCGAAGGTAACTTGGTGGAAAAGTGTCTGCTTCGAAATGTTCAACTCGGATAACAAGTTCTTGACTGGTACATGAAGATACCGTCTAGACACGCCCACGGTCGCCTTGGTCTGCTCCAAGAGTTGGTTGGAGGTGTGTTGCGAGTCGCCCTTGAAACGAACTGGCATAGTATCGCCCCTGCCCTTCAAAGCTCGACCCAGGCCGATCACGAAGTCGTCGGTACCAGTGAGCTGTGTGAGTAGGATCTGCAGCGCAGCTAAACCGAAGCTTACCCCTGAATGTTCGTAGTCGTCGCACATGAATCGAATGCCGAAGGAGAGATTTGCTGAGATGGTTGTCTCAAAGCGATGGAAAGCCGGAACCGCATCGGGGTTGCGAAATCCTCGGGTTGTGAACGGTAACATTGGTAGAGACGTGAGTCGACCTTCCATTTGGGCTGTCCATTGCCACAGACCAGAGGCCGGTAGAGGGGTCATATGAGAGAGTGGGCTGCTTTCTAGAGTATGGGTCGCCTCGAAAGAGTCGCTAGGGGTCGCTGGAGGCGGTGCAGGCAATGAATAACCGGGGGTGGATTGCGCTCGGCGAGATCGAGTAGGTGCAGCTTGTTCCATCGGATGTTGGGCAGGCGATGGAGATGAGAAAGGGTCTTCGTCGAAGTCTCTATCCTGCATAGTCGAGTTAGCCAAGATATAATACTCGGGCTAGACCTCCAGGGATACTCCGTCGAGTGAATTTGGAGTGCACGGTCGGCTTTTCTACCTCGATCATGGTGTTTAGGCAGCAAACCATCCTTCTTGTTTCCCTCAGTAACCCCAGTAATTGCGACAAGCATAGCGAAGCCAACAGCGCTGACCTCCTACCCCCTTGGCGTGACTATATAACTCCCTATGCTTACTGGTTATATCCTATTACGAGACCGCGTAGAATCAGCAAACTCCGGTCGCAAAACACCACTCAACCAAGACCATGGGTAATCTCGACACGACCCTCACGTCCGACGGCAAGAATGCTCATGCACCCACCAAAGCACCCGCCAATGGGCTTGGAGATCTTGGCAAACTTCCGAGAGAGCTAAGAGACATGGTGTACGAAGCTGTGCTTGCGACTGCACTCAAACGAAACGTAATGATGTTCGGCAATATTGCTGAGGACAAAGCCGAAGTCGAAGCCCAGCTCTCCAAACCTTACTTCTGCCTACCATACATTTCCCGGGTATCATCCGCGATCCGGAAAGACATTACACCAGTCGCCCTTCGTAACTCCCACATCATAGTCCGAGGCTATCGTAAAGCACATCGACTCACCGATTGTCTCTCAGCTAACGACGCCTTTGGCAGCGTGGGGTCGTTGGAATTACGAGGTATGAACAACATTAGGACGGTGCTCGGTGGCATAGACAAGTTCCCAGTGCTCCAGCGCCTCTATCTTGCACTTTCTATGCGTGTGTTAGCGCAAATCGAACATAAGAACGGGGTGCCGATCGCAGACTCCACGGCCAAAGTAGTGCAGAAGTACAGATTGGAGAAGCTACTTCTGTGCACTGCTCTCCGCTGTGTTACTTTGGATGAATTTGAACCCGACGGCTGCAGACGTAAAGAGGTTGACAAGGGGATATCGCTACGCGGTCTGGGACGATGGTTAACGAACGAGTGCGAAAAGAGAAAGGTCGACATGCAACTCCGACTTGTGTTGACATGCTCTGCGGCATGTAACAAATGATTGCGGGTACATAAGACGGTCGTTAAAGAGTTCTCTGAGTGATGTTGGAAACCGAGGGAGTGGCTGGCTGATGGACGAGCCTGTGCTGCCGTTTTCTGTTAAGAAGAGGATATATCAACGACCTCAACACACGAATGAAGCAAAATCTCACCATGATAAGAAAATCGCAAGCCTTCCAGTATAACAGTAGTGTTAGACGAGCCCTATGTAAAACACGACAACTACCAATATGTGTGCATGTTGCGACTCCAGCGAACAGCTAAGGTTTCCGCGATACACGCAAGGCTGCGCGAGGAACTCTCGTGGTCTTTTAGGTATTGGCCATAACTCGGATATTACAGCATTTGTAAGATTGCATGAGGCCTCGATACCTAGATAGTATAGGCGCGGGAGTTGGTGCTGGAAAAGAGGATGGGAAGAGCATCCAGGGGCGGCCGCATGTTTGGAAAGAGCTATGAGCGTGCCAAGCCGCTAGCGTCACGGCAATCGGCACACTTCACGTGTCTCCTCTCCTCCACCCGAGATACAACGCGTTCTTGACCCTCACCGTCGCACTCCTACGGGCTGCATTGCTACGAAGAGGAATTTTGAATCTTTGAGGTACACCAGGATATGGAAAATGTCTCTCCGCGGACGGCCCGGCGTCAGCAACAACGATCTGGCCAACCAAAAGCGTCGCGTTCTCAGCCGTCGAACCTAGCGCGCTGGCGCCAGCATCATGACACCATGACACGCTTGCTTGTCACACCTAAACTTTGACCCTCTCCGTCTGTTCCTCGACGATAAACTTCCACATCACCTCTGCCGCCGTCTTTGCGCCGTCCATGGAGTTCAACGTCTCCGCTAGCATCCGCGCGCTCGCTGCATAAGAAGGATCCTTGAGCACCGTCAACACCGTGCTGCGAATGTTCTTGGCCTTCCAGAACTGTTTCTGCACGCGAATACCTGCTCCAGCATTCATGGCGTTGTCAAGATTCGTTTGCTGCTCGACTTGCAGCGCGACACCGACAATAGGCTTTCCTGCAGCCAAGGCGCATTGGACAGTCCCTTGACCTCCATGCGTGACGATGAGGTCGGCGAGCGCATTGGCAGCCGGTGCTGGGATGAATCGATCAGTCACCAGAAGCCGCGCATCTCCGCCAGCGATCTCAATTGCCTTGTCGATGTCGCAGATGGATTTCGAAGCCAGCACGACTGCGTTCCAGTTGTCGTCAGGGTTCAACCGTAGAGCCTTGATCGCTTCGAACAAGAAATCTTCCGTTCCAGAGCTGCCCATTGTAACTAGGATCGATGGACCAGGACCCTTTGTTAGATGTGCCGATATTTCTTCGTCCAGCTTCGAGTCGTTTCGCGCGTACAAAGGACCCGTGAGGACTATGTTCTTTGGGAGGCGGTGCAGATATTCTTGATGGAATATGGGGTGGTCGTTGACCAAGTTGAGATCGGCCATGTTCATGTCGAAGAGTGAGATGGGGCCCGTGACTGGCCATCCGCAGGCTGCCGCTGCAGCTCCCAGGCGCTTCTGTCGGAATATAGGAGCGTTCACCATCAAGCCGCTGGCCCACCATGCCATCCGCTGTCGGACTGGTCGTGGAAGCCTTGTGAACAGTGGCATCATATCTGGAAGATCGCGAATCAGGCCGTGAGCAAAGGCTCCAGGATGCAACGGAACCGGGAGGAAGTTGATCGTGCGGATACCCAGGAGTCGCGCAGCAATAGACGCTGGAGCCCACATGCCATGGAACACAATATCGGGCTTCAGTTCCTTGAACGCTGCAAGTTGACCGTCGATGAATGACTTTGCGATTTCTTCTGAACCAAAGAACTCAGGCCAGTCCCATCCAAGGTCGTGCGCCACGGAGATGCCCTTCACGCGCGGTTGAGCTGGGACAATGTTGAAGCCAGCGTCCGTGATTTGATATTCGAACCGCGCGCCACAGGACAGGAAGTCGATTCGCAGATTGATATTGGACGGGCACATGTCCCGCAACGCGATAGCCATCGCAATGGCACGTGTCGTGTCTCCAGCGTCTTGCCATGCTACGCTGAGCACGATGTGAACGTGTTGGGAAGCCATAGTGCCAGATGTTGCACCTCTTATCGTAGAAGAGAAGGTTGAACAGTGGCGACAATTAGCCTTCCAATGTTAACTGGGTTTCAAGGTGTCCTGGTCTATCGGCTCTTATACAAAACACCATGGACGTCGCCATGCAGACATGCACCAATGTCTAAATGCGGCGTCGATCATATTCGTCTCTCCTCTATGATCTCCGAAACAACAGGTCCGACATGAGCCGCATTGTACAGCTGCGGCTCATTCTCACCGTGCCAGAGCTTATCAGCGTCAGCTCACCATCTGTATGGGGGCTCGTAACTGCTATACGATGGCCAGCCCAACGCTGAGCATTACTTAAGACCGACCCAGCTACGTGGTATGGCCATGCTACGACGCCCGACAGCTGTGGGGAACCGTGGGAAGTGCGATCCGGTATCGACATTACATTCGGTCCTTTGTGAGATCGGATCACTAATTGCGTTGGAGCATCTGACGTGTAGTACGGCCACCTTTGCGCCAGCTGTGAGTGGAATACGTGGGCTGACGAACCGTGCGCGGCGAGATGAGACGTCTGGAAACGCCATTGGCATATAATGCGCGTCGCTAGTCTTGTTGTCGGTTCTTACAGATTGCACAGCAGACTGCCTGCCTGAGTACGACCTGGTGGTGGTTGTCAGCAAGCTTTAGGTTTACGAACAACCAATGGTTTACACGCAATCTCGGAGCTGGCCCGGATGACGCACCTATCCGACCCCAAAACCACCGAAGTGTGGTTTCACCGCGAGAAGGGCGGCTTCAAGGCGATAATCGCGCCTGTGTTGGCGGAGCAAATGCACGTCGGAGCCTGATAGCAACACCGACCCCAACCGTCTATCATCTCAATCAAGCAGAAATGATATCGCAAAAGTGGGTCTCAAGCATGCATATGGTTAATAAAGCTTCGCTAGATCTCGGCTTTGCTTGATTGCTCGTCCTGGACGTGGGATGATCAGCGACATGGCTTGGTGGCTTCGCTTACGCATTACCTGTTTGGTGAGCTGCGAATCGGAACGGCCCCGAAGTCTGCTTCCTTGCGAAAATCAAGGAACGTCTTGTAAGCTTGCGCATTTTCGCCCCTCACAACACGTGGGACGCTTGGAAACAGCGCAAAAGACGACAAACTTCAAGCAGACAACGATGGGAAGTGAGAACTAATGGCTAATACATTATGCATTAATGGCAGAGATACGATGCGATAAGGTATCCGCCCTATCATCATTACACGCTAAAGGACCTCGCATTCATCCATAGATCTAATTCCGGGAAAGAAGAGCCAGCTTCGTCACCTGCGAACTTGCTTCCCCGGGCCCAGTTGATCACGGAGGTCGGGGTTAATGGTGGCTGTCAAGTATGAAGCAAATTGACCGCTTTGGCGGAACATCTTCTTCAAAGCTGGCGCCGGCTCCGCCACCGCCGGCTGGTTCCCTTCTTGCCGACCTGCACCATTGGCTGGAGCTTTCAGGATACCACGGGGCTGCTGTGGCTTTTGATCCCGCTTCTCATCGTGTCGCTGTACGGACGTGTCTGGTTTTGCTTTGACGCTTCGCCACTCCATGCCTACAGCAGCTGGTATCGCAAGGCAAGCTATGACAAGTGCCGCAAAGAACGTCCCATGTGCCAGCGAGTCGTTGTAGGCTGCCAGTATCAGGGCCTTGATGGCTGGAGTGACACCGGCTGTCAGGTTGGTGGCCCCTGCGTCTAGGATCTTTTGAGGGTCCAGACCTCCGATTTGCTCCAGACCAGACGAGAACTTGTGTATGTACAAATTCTGGCCGACGGCTGTGAAGACTGCGCCACCGAGTGTTTGGAACAGCGAGAGTACTGCCGTCCCGGTTGGAACATCCTCCTTGGGCAGTATGGTTTGCACGGCAATGTTGGGGTGTTGCATGGTGCAGCCAACGCCGAAGCCCACAACGATCTGCGTTCCAATCCACATGGCGTTATCGGTGGTCATCTCCCAAGTGGTAATGAGACCAGCTCCGATAGCCATCATGCCTGAGCCAAGGATCATGAAAGGAGTGTAGTATCCGATGCGCTGTACCAGAGCTCCAGACATGATCGAGCCGAAGACGACCGAAAGAACGAGCGGAATGGTGTTGATACCGGACTGCATAGCAGATGCGCCTTTGATGGCCTGGAACCAGAGAGGAACGTAGATGGAGACTGTGAGCATGGTTGCGCCTACACAGAACTGGGATGCACTACCGAACGTCACGCTCCGCTGGAAGATGATGCGTGCGGGCAAAGTCGCGGTGGTATGCCTAGTGACGTATTGCCACAGCACAAACGCTATCAGCAGCATTGCGAAGGCAACAAGAAGTATGACCATCCGCGGTGAGGTCCATGGGTAGTCGGCTGCGCCCCACTCTAGCGCTAGCAAGAGACAGGTGATCGATGGAAGGAACAATGCGGTACCGAGGGGATCAAGTTGTCGTATCGTCTCTCCCCACGTTTTGAGTTGCGGCTTCTTCTCGTCAAGCTTGAGCAGCAAGCACACTACAAGGAGAGTGAAACCACCGAGCGGGAGGTTGATATAGAAGCACCATCTACATGATGTCAGTATGCGTTTCATATGCGATTTGTTAGTAGTGTTACTGACCTCCAGGTTGCGCTGCTGCTAGTGAAGGCACCGCCTAGCAAGGGACCTGCCACACTTGCGACGCCAAAGCATGCGCCGAAAAGACCCTGCAGCATGGGTCGCTTAGCCAGCGGCACAGTGTTGAACATGATCAGGATCGCGCCGGTGAAGATGCCGCTACTGCCCAGGCCCGCGACCGCACGCCCGACGATGAGCATGTTACTGTTCCGCGCAGCGCCGCAGATGATACTTCCGAGTTCGAATAAGAAGATGCCGGATAGGAAGACCGGTTTGGTTGGAAAGAAAGTGTATATGCGACCGTACAATAAGATGAACCCGGCTGCTGTAAGCATGTACGCGCTGCCGTACCACCCGATGTCGCCAATGCTGCTGAACTCGTTCGTGATGGCGGGGATGGCTGGTCCGATGATGGTTCGGTCAAGAGCGACAAGGAAGATCGAGATGTACAACGAGAGCATTATGATCGCCGTCTTCGCAGTGGATGGGTATGGAGATGGCGCCTTGGGTGCTCCTCTTTGTCGTTCGATGTCGTAAACGGTCGGTGGCTCATCAAAAGGTTCGTCGCTCATCGAATGCGCATCCCGGAGATTACTCCTGCGGTAGTTTCGGTCTGGATATTTGCCCATTGCAGGGCTGAGAGGTCCGTCCATGATGCTCTCGTCGTCGAACTTGAAGCTTGTGGGACTGGAGTAATTTGTATCGTCGTATGGGTCCATTATGACTGGTACGTGATCGCCATCCTCGGATGTTGAAACCCGTCTTATTGTGTTCCGGCGGAAAGCTGGGTTGGCTGCATTAGCCTCGTTGGCTTCATTCAGCCGCAATATCCCTTCTAGTGCCATTAGAGTGCTTGCCCGCAGGTAAGGTCGGATTTCTTGTAGATCTTCTCGTAGGTTGTTGGTTGTGTAGGAGGTAGCGCAATCCCGCCTCTGCGAGTATGGTTGTGACTGGGCGAGATCTTGGGCGAGGTCTTGTCCTTGTGCGTTGTAAGAGATATACGAGGCTGTGCCTAACCGTGCTTGGTCGGTTGCTCGGTCGAACGCAGTCTCGCAGTTGTCAGCCAGATCTTGTAGGATATCAGAGATCAAGCTGCGCTCTTCCGAGTTGGTGCGAGCGTGCCATCTGAGCTCGTGTGTGGATTGTGTAGCTTGTGTAGATGGGCGTGATGATATAGATCCTATGATGGAGAGCGCGGCGGGGCGTGCCCCTCGGTACTTCGATATGGACGGAGGAGGCGCCGCCATGATGTTCCCAGTCTAGAGAGTAAGCCTTAGGTATCAATCCGGGTATATTGGGTGCGTGCGCTGAAGCCCGATTTGTTGCTTGCAGCCGAACGTACGAGAGGTCCAAAGAAACGAGACGGTAACAATATGCAGAGATATACGGATATGAGCTATAGGGGTGAAGAGTAATATAGTCATAGACAGACGTCGATTCTTTGCATGAACGTTGCATGAACAGTCCAAACAAGAAGCACATCTCAGTAACACATCTAACAGACCAAGAGATATTCCGCAGTCGCATCCGCAGCACGACCATGAGGCGCAACGGTGCAGTCAGACGGCGATTACCTCTGGCGAATGCGACATGCTTCTCGCACACCACCCACAGCCATCAAAAGCATCGGAGCGCCAGTTCCAAAACCACCGATGTTGCACAACTTGGCTTTACGCCACAGAGCTTTTCGTGCGCGTCCGATGGCGTCTATTAATATGAACCGGGTAGACCCTGAGCTGTCAGAGGTGGGTAGCTTCATTATGCTGCATGTGTGCACTGCAGCGACCCTCGTGTTGTGTGCAAGGTTATGCAAAGTCAGCCATATCAGGTCGGTGATTACGCTGGGGGAGCCGACCGGCGCTGCGAGATCATTGAGTTCTGCCGAGACACATCAGGCAACATGTCAGAGGGCTGTGAGGGTTTCTTTCCAAAGTGAACATGATGCAGATGATGGAGCATGACGCGGAGTGACGTCTCAGGCACTCAGAAAAGCTGGTGGAGGATGTTGGCGATGAGAAGAGGACGGAAAAGCAAGTGGGCCTTAGCTCTAGCGTGACTGAGACTGCAGCTGACGTGAAGGAAAATACGCATCATACGAATGGCATCTCTTCGCCTCGCCACTTGCTTGTCCCGTCACAACACCAACCCATTATGCATTCGTTGCAGGAGGACCTCGACTGCAAGTACAAAGATGTCGCGATTCGCATCTGTATCATGCTATAGTTCATTGAGTTCGATAGCTTCCCAAGGTTAGTCGCCGGCCCGACATCGCAGCTCACCACATCGTCATGACCGCTCATCACATTTCGACCCCGCGCGACCCTCACATCCCCTTGTCAGCCCTGCGCAACAACGAAACTCCTACATTGAGGATGAAGGCGTTCTGGATGCGACACCTCAATGCGGGTGATCGCCATGATCTTCTCAGGGGCCCACTTGAGGCAAGCAAGCCTTTCCCGCGGCGGATAGCATGCATAGCCATCTTGGAATGCAGGTACGGTTTCAGAGGCTTCTAGCTTCGCTGGGCTTTTGTCAGTTTGCGGGGTGCATTGTTGTTCAACAGGGGAAGAGTGGAGGCGACCGTAAAAGCAAACGGCGCCCCTGAACCAAGAATGGCAGGACGGATCTGCAAAAGCAAAGTCGCACCTCGTACAGGAAAAACACTGAACAGGTCTGGGGTCTACATCAGCGTGGAAACATGCAAAGTGGGTGATACAATGTCGATGTAGGCTCCAGGCCTGTTCGGACTGTTCATACGCTGATGTGGTCAGGACGGCAGGCTATATCGCAACACGACCGCAAGCCTTCATGTCGCGGCATGATGCTGGCGGTCGAAAGAGGGGTGGAGTTCAATCGTTGCTCGTTGGGGTGCAACAGGTACGTCACAATCAGCGGACCGCGGGTCATGACTTAGAACCTGTGGTGGAGACGGCGGATCAGATACCAGAGCCTAGAGATCGACCCAACATGCGTCAGGAGAGAAAACATTGCGAACTACGTCAACATTGCTTCCACATTCGCCTGTGTCGATGTGTGGATGTGCCGATACTGGTACTCTTGTTCCTCCTTGAGATGGTCTTTAGCTAATATGAAGTAATAGTAATTAATCTTTATTAAGGCGGGTACTTTGATCTGTGCGGTGTAGTTGGCGTATCCGTATGAGATTTAAAAGCTGGACCAGTTTTTTTGGGTCGAAGACTGGGTAGTTGATGTCAATGTAGCTCTGAGGGTGAGGTACAAGATTCGCCCTCGTGCAGCCTACATCAAGATGAAAACAGACAAAGCTAGCATCCTGGCGTTGACGTAGGCTCCAGGGTGTTCAGGTTTTCCTAGGATGAGGTGCCACGACAAGGTACGCGAAGTGGATCAAACATGGAAGGCAAAGCTTGTTTTGAATGAGCGTGGGGTATGCTGACTACAAGTAACAAGAGCCTCGTGATGCATGCATGCCAGATTCGCGGGACGAATCTGCTTAAGCAAATGTGAAACGGCCTGCCCGTCTCATGCAAGAAAAGCCTGAACAGGTTTGCAGACTACATCAAGACAAAACTGTGCAAAGTGGTTGACCCAACGTTGACGTAGGCTCCAGGGTGTCCTGGTTTTCCTTGAACGAGGTGCTACCACGAGGTAGGCGAAATGGATCAAGCAGGCAAGACAAAGCAGGGTTTTAACGAGCGTGGGGTATATTGACTACAAACAGCAAGAACTATTCAATGAATGGAAATGAAACGACATCCAAAGATGTGGAGACCAGATCAAGTACAGAACAAATCGGAGATGGACCAAACATTCTCGTCGCTGCTCTCTTACCACACCAAGAGAGCCTTCCCAACGAAGATGTTACAAACGATGTTACCGAAAGGATAGACCCATGGATCAAGAAGCGTAAGGATAAGTGAAATCCCAGTAATCTTTGGCCTCTTCCCACTTGTCCTCGGCGTTTTCGAGGCACTCGACAAGGGGTTTGTTGCACATTGCCACCGTACCGTGGATCGCGAATTCGGCATCCGTCATGTGAGAGTCAGGTTGGATCGGGTCATGATGGTTGAAAGCGTCTCGGTTGCATCTCTTGATGCCACGCTCGATGATGGTAGACCTCATGGTAGGCGCAGGTTCATTGAGGTGCTGTGGCCATCCCGCGATGAATATATCTTGTTTGGCTAGGGCCTTCTTGCCGCATTCAATCAGAGCTTGGTTGCACTGAGAGTATCTGACGTCCGAAAGGGGAGTGCTTCCAATGGAGGATTGGACCGAGATGAGGGTGGGGTCAGAGCCGTACTGGACAACGCAGTCCATCATGTCATCATGAAGCACAAATTCGCTGTAGATTTGGTCCGATTTACGATCCGTTTTAACGGGGTCTTTGATGGCACCCCCGTACATGGTATCCATGGCATCGTCTTCGGCATCTTGGGTGTCTTGACGGACGGTCTTAGGAGCGTAAGGGGCGACAGAGACATGGACGTCAGACGCGGTGAGGACAGGTCCCTGAAGCAACAATATTAGACACAGACTACAGGGTAGTAGACAGGCAGGACAAACCTCGAGTGCCGTGGAGGGGATACGGGGGACCATGGCAGCGGTAGCCACAAGGCTACCGAATGCCACTACAAAATACCCGGATAGGATCATCGTAAGGCACAAACGAGTGGTATTACACAATATGGTTGAGATAGCAGAAAGTGTCAGGAATTGGAAACTGTTGAGATGGTAGAAGATCGAATCAGAATTGTGTGTTGTGAAAAACAATCCTCGCCCAGCTGGGATTGTCTTATATAGCGGTTGGTGCCCGCACACAATCCTCGGATTCGGAGACCCTTAGAACACACTAATTTGGACCCGATCGATATGTACTGCTCATTTCTGTAAGGGTTCATTTAACCTGCGCAGTCAAACCCACTATCAACGATCGCCCTGAGCGCGCCTGTCAGCCACTGAGGTCAAGCACAAGGCCGAGCGATCGTGGCCATTAGCCCGATCCCGCTGACCCTGAAATTTGCAGCGGTAATAAATCACGGATGGGAGTGTTTTTATGAAACCCGGACACTAGTTAGGGCGTTCGTCTGTCGCACTTGGATCATGGCACGACCTCAATGGAACTCCTTCGGATGAGGGGGTGGACTCTGGAAGACGCGAAGCAGTGTAATCACGAAAACTTTGAGGGACCACCTCAAGCAAACGAACGGGGAGAATATGAAAGCCACCGCAGTCTTCGACTTCACCAAACTATCTACGCAAGCTATTTGTGGGCTTTACCTTTCACTGTTGACAAGACTAAAGACAGGCTGCATGTTGAGGCTGGTCAGTTTGTCAGATGATGACCTTGAAGCTATTTCGAATTGCCACATTCCAAATCGTCAATGAAGACGTAGCTAGCGAGGTTGATACTTTCGATCCTGGACTTGTGCTGGTTCAACTTGTAAGGCTACGTAGACGATAATGCATTGGAAGTCCGAGGTGCAGTTTCCATGTCACTGTTCCCAGACAGACAAAATTTGGCCTAGAGCGTGCGCAGGTAGTTGGTTCACAAGATGGCACGGTTCGAAATGGACGTGCAATGACCACCGGAAATGAAGCATGGGGATGCGATGATGCATTGCAGCAATCTCAAGCTACGGGGCGTACTCTTCGTCTCGTGGTAAGACAGGTGTATGAACTTGCATCAGGTATCTTGGTATACGCTACTCTGTTCAGAGTAACGGCTAGATAGAAGAGGGTTCAGGAGCTGTTGAGGCATTGAGCAAAATTGCCGTCGTCAAACAAGTGTGTGACAGGGTCGAGGATAACAGACATTCGAACGAGGTGCGGGGATGGTCGACCTTTGGTTGTTGATCTTCGTGATGATCGTTTTGTGGAGTGTTAGGATACCATGGTCCAAACGATCTCACAGGCGTTGATATTAAATTATACTAAGCATATTTCTTTGAACTCATACTCCAACAAGACGAGAAGACAACGCATTAAATTGTACTTTGCGACAATCATCGGGATATTACTTCGACCACCCCCAGTGCTTCTGCCACCCTTGCTGTCCAATTAACAAATCGTCACCATGCGATTCTTCGCGTGGTTACTCACGACCTTCCATGTCTTCGATGTTGTCAAGGGCTCTGCGAGCGTTGCGTGGTCAAATACGACTTCAGGAGACGAATTCCTGTCAGCGCTCAACCCTAACTACGCCGCAAAAGACTGTAAGTTGAGTCCTTATTGTAATGATACCGGACCTACTGGCGACTACGATTGGCACAATGACTGCCCAGACTTTCCCAGGATTACCTATGAACTATGGATCACACATCGAGCCGTGGACACACCATTCTTGAGGAAGAATCTCAGACATTACGAACAACTCAAGATGAACCCATGGAAAATTGGACGCGACGAACTCACCTTTCCTGCCTATATGGCAAAGCGATACGCTCCCAACCTACCACCCAGTAGTATGCTCTGCGATGGCTTCGGAATGTGCAGAGTGAGTATTTCATTCCAACTTCGAATTCTGCTGTTGTTAACACCATAACTAGGCCCCAAGCTGTAAAGACATTGGAGAAAAGCTCCGACCTGAAGAACAACGCGCAGCCATGTTGTTCTTCGAATTCGTATCGGGTCTCGACCATTCCTTCCACATTACCAGCGAAGCTCTCCAGGATCATTGGCGGCATATTCTCGAAGACATCGATCAACTCACCCGGAGGTTCACGTATGCGGACGAACAACAAGAAGCGGCTATCAAGAAGGATGAGAAGAAGAAGAAAGCAATGGCCGCAATGGAGTTGGCTTTCGGAATCATTACAGCAGTTTTCGGGCTCATGTCCGCAGGCGCCAACATCGTGAACTTCAGGCCAGAGATCGTCAATAAATACATCAACGAGATGGCTGTGTTCAAGAATATGGGTACGAAGTGGCAGCGAACTCTGGAATGGGCGGGCGGCAAGACCAGGATTCCAGGCAGCTCAATAGCCAGGAAGCTGAAGTCTCGGAGACATCCGGAGGCGACAGACGGCGGTCCACGCCCGGATCCGTCAGGTTTCCTCAGGGATAAGACAATCGAGAACATCCAGAGTAAGTTCTGGCCTTCGACATGAAAGAGTGATCTAATATCAAGTAGAGCTGTGGACCATCACTAGCGGAGGTTATCTCGGGGTGCAAGGGTTGACCAAAGAGGTAGTCAAGAAGATCGACCATAAGAAGGATTTGTAAGTTGCGCATACTGTACATTCGACAGTGTAGGTCCTAACAGAAAGCAGGAAAGGATATGACAAGACTCTGGAAGCGGTGCGTGCAGAGCTAGTCGAACTCGATACCAACGATATCGACGAAGCCAGAGCCGGAATGCCAATCCTTGCGTTGGGCGGCAGAAGTCGCGATGGCAACAACATCGTCGACCTCTATGAGAAGGACTTTTTTTACGGCGCCAATGTCGACTTTCGAGCCTATGTCGACTTCGTGGTCGGCTTGAGGACTTATGCGACTATCATAAGCGCCTTGTGGAAAACGGAAGGCGTCTACGTCGTCGAGACCTGGACTAAAGAAGGCGGCGACTGCGACCAAGACAATCGTGGACCAGCCGAGAACAAGATCTGTCTTCGGGAACGTCCTAATATATCCTACTGGGTGTACGCAATGACAAATTACAAAGACAAGAAGAATCGTAGTCCACCCGGATGGGAGTACCTCACCAGTGAAGAGGGTTTCCACGGCCTCTTCGCTAGTGACGTGGTCCGAGCTGCTCTTTGGCGAGAAGAGGTCTATTGGCCTGAACGCGAGAAGGAGGAACGTGAACGGAATTCCACAGCTTCAGGCACCTGCCCATCAGACAACAACGATCGGCTGCAGGATACGCCGGCCCTGGAGCCGGTGAATCTGGACGGCAAGGGAAGTCCGGACACCAACGTCACGCACTCATCGGGCTCGAACTCTACTTTACCCCCGGGCGCGAGAAAGCGTCTGGACGACTATGGCAACGCCCCCGACGCTTTCGACATTGCGGTATGTCGCAGCTGGATGGGTGAAGCTATCTCCAGCACGAAGAGCACAGACCACAACAATGCGCCTTGCCTATGCGATCCCATCAACCCCATCTACGCAGCCTCGTGGGAAGCGCCCACGAACTGGACCATGGCAGCAACCAAGAAGTTCATCAAAGACAGCGGCTTGTACAACTTCGACAGCTTCGGAAAGAAGTGCCACGACTGTGACAGGATGGATGTAAGTTGGAAGGCACTGTTACAACTTGACGACGAGGAAGAGCCAGCGAAGCATATGAAGAAGGCTTGGCTTCACGACTGCGACCCGAATCATCACAAGGAACATGACTTGGGACCACCACAGCTTACCAATCCCAACTCGACAAGCTCATCATCCGTACCACCAGGTTGCGACCCAACGCAGGCACCAACACCCACCCGAGAGCCCATCATGCAAGTTACCACCCAGCTCCTCAACGAGGAGACGCGGTACCCGAAGAACACGCCCAAAAACATAACGTCGCAAGGCGCATGCAACGGGCCGTACTGCATCGTGGACGTCGTCTACGAAATCCGGGAGTCACACTACAACTACACCGTCGACTCCTCGGTCCGAAACGGCGAATACGGTTGCTATCCTGGCAACGACAAGTGCGTTGAACAGTCCGCGCACGATCTTTGCGACTTCCGCGATGACGATGACGACAGTGAAGAGGCTAAGGCCAAGGAAGACGCGGAATGGGACCGTGAAGAAGTCGGACCAGACGACGACGAGTATGAGGACTTCATCCAGGAGAACCCCAAAGGCAACGGCACAGCCCCAGGCAACGACAAGACCTCGACCGACGGCACGAACCCAAGCAACGACAAGGCCCAAAATGACGGCACAACTCCCGGCGACAACGGCGCTCCAGGCAACGGCACCTCCCCCGACAGCCAAGACAAGAAGAAACCCGACAACGAAGCCATGAAAGCCTTCAAAGCATGGCTCAAGATGAACGAGAAACGACAAGCATGTGTATGCGGCGGAAACGGCAAGAACGGCCGACACGGCATCCATTGTTTCCCAGGACCAGTCGCCACGAGAACCACTACGATCAAGGGCCGCATGAGCCAGACAGCTAATCCGTTGAGTCCTTTGGCTGCTACACCCACTGGAGCCGGAGGTGGAAGTGCGGCTGCAAGTGGGACTGGCAATGTAGTGACCAACGTTGTCGCCACGAGTGATGTGTGGGTCGACGCGCGAGAAATATCTGTTGAGATGCCGAGTCTGGGTACGCCTACTGAGACGGCGGTGTTCTTGACGGGTAGCTACGCTTCGATCGCTACGTATCCCGCGGCGGGTATGCACTGAGCTCTTTCGGATGCGGGCGGGTGGTGCTCCGGGTTAACGGCTGCTGAACAGGCCGGGAGTCTACATCGACGTTCGGTCACCTACTTTGCATGTTTCTATGTTGATGTAGGCTGCAGACCTGTTCGGGCTTTTCCTAGGTTGACGTTGGCGGAAGGTTTTGATTACGGCGTTCTTCTTTTATCGGTACTCTATAGTTCTCTGTTAATGGGGAGAGCTTGGGTACACTGCTTTTCGCGCGGGTCGGAGTCTGGGACTGGGCCGGAGTACTGGACTGAGATGGAGTGTGGCGCATGTTTGTTGACTTACTCTTGATACTGATCTCTTCTCCTTATCAATCGAGTTTGTCCTATATCTGCTTTGCACCATGATCACCGTACACATTGTGATGTTTTGGAGGTGATCGGAGACAATAACATTGCATTATATCGAGTGTTGGCGTTCAGATGGGCAACGATGGGGTAGCGTAATGCCACGAAAGAACCGGGCGATGGCTCCTCTTGCTGGGCCACCCGAGCATCTTGTGATCGCGATGCGTGACTGTAAACCTCGAGAGAGGATCTGTCATCAGTCGTAACATCCTGCTTGAAGTTTCCAGTACCACGGTTGCGTGGGGTAGACGAGGCACTCACGGCTTCCGAAATCCGTATCGAGTCAGTCCCCCGGGCGACTCCCGTAACACACACGAGATACACGATGACTGAATCCGCCCATTAAATAGTGGAAGGGATGAGAAAGAGGTCAGTCCCTCGGGAATGCGAGGTATTTACAATTCAAGCACTTGAAGTGGCCACCGAGCCCCACGGCTCAGTTTGTCGACACGTCGAGGCGGTCGTGCGAAAGGTGAATTCCAACAAAAAGGCGGTTTCCGATAAGAGCCTTGACCAAACCATCAGCCGTATCAAAAGGAAGCATTCCGCGCGAGGTTAGCAATCAGCCACCGCCGAGTGGCCACTCACGACTCCCGAAATCCACACCACAACCATCTACTCAAATCTCCTTGAACAAGCAATAGCGCCAACTCAAGAAAAGAAGTGCTCGCCTAGTTTTCATTCAGTCGATTAACAAGTCGAGCCGATCGAAAGAGGAATGCATGCGACAACAGATCCTCCTACATCTCTCTAGACTCTTCAGATGAGCCAGATGAACCGCAGTCAAACATAGGAGCTAAGAATATCTCGCGCGAGGTAGCAATAAGATGAAAGTGGTGGTGTCTATCAAGCTGACCATTATGCCATGCCATGCCATGCAATAGAAGTAATATGAAACGCCCCAGCACTTGGCGACGTTTGATCCAAACGACTGGAAAAAGAAGAAGAGATGAAACCTTTGACCAGCAAAAGGGCTGAGCGCGACAAGTAGCAAACCAGAAGAAAGTAGAGGGTATCATCGCTGTCGTGTATGCGCGAGGTATGGAAATGAAGAAGAAAACATTACCGAGAAAGATGCGAACACACCAGAACGCCAGAAAATGCCGAGAGTAGAGAAACGCCATTCTTACGCTCTTGACGGGAGTGAATTCAGTCATCCGTAGCATTCATCTTCCCCATCTCCAACCCCACCTCATCAGTCTTCATCCTCTCCCCATCAGGCCCCCTCCTCCCACCGCCCACAAACCCCCAAAGCCCAATCGCCGCAACACCCCAAGCTACAACCACAAAAGGAACCATAACCGCCCTTCCAGCGATCTCAACCCCGCATTGCATGCCATAGTCTTCCCGTACCATACCCGCACCTTCAACACCCGCGAGTTCGCAGGACCAGGTTTCGAGATCAAAGGTACCGAAGTTGTAGCGGAAGAAGGCCGGGGATTGTTGGGTGGAGGGGGAGGTGGAGGCAGTGTCGTTCATGCGTGAGGCGCGAAAGTTGACGAAGCCTTCGCGGAAGTGGGAGGTGTTTTTGTGGGTTACGTAGATGGAGACGAGGGCGAAGAGGACGAGGATGGCGTTGGTGATGTGGAGGAACATTATGTTGCGACGGAAGGCGTAGGATTGCGTCTGTATAGATGTCAGATGAAAGCAGTCTTTCGTCTTGTGTAGGAGTAGACGTACCCTGTTGCCCTTTTTCCAATCTGTTGCGACGAATCCTAGGTGTGCGGCGGCTAGACATATGCTGACCGTGCCGGCGATGATGGCTAGTTTTGCTGGTACTGCATATAGCATCCGTGGTAGAGCAGCCATGATGATGGATTCGCCGGGGTCGCCATTCCTTCTTGTCGTCTGGTATTCAAATCCGGTCATGCGATTGTCCTCGATGAAGCTGTAAGTTAATGCCTTGAGGGCAATGACCGGGACCGCGATGATGAGTAGTACAGAGAGGGAGATGCTGTACAGCAGCCTCGCTATACGGTGGTGCGGACATGAGCTGGTATTGAGCGGCTGGTTGAAGACCGGTGGGTCGTCCTCCTTGACCTGCTTGGTTTGAAATAGCGAGGTAACTTTGTCGGCTGCCGGTGGCAGGGTGAATTTCACTTTTGTCATCTTGGCGGTAACCACGTTTCGACCCTTCACAGAAGGACGAAGCAGAGAAAGGAAAGTATGCTACGAGCGAGAGTATTGGGCGTTGGTTGACTGATGTCAAGGAGACTCAAGATTAACATAGCATCTGTTCACCGCCGAGACATTGGTCCCAAGAGACGCATGCTTGGATAGTCGCCCGTACCGCATCTACTCCTACCATATGATGTCGGCTGAGAGAATATCGGCCTGTCAATGCTATCCTACCGGCATAGGGCTGCTTCGTGGCAGCTGTCAAGGATTCGCTTGAACGGTCCAGTACATTTCCGGCCTGTTGTAGATGAATCGCAATGCAACTGACAGGTGTCAAACGGTCGGTTCATCGTGTATTGGTCGTCATGATGTGTCGCGACGGGAAGTGTGTGAGATGCGCAACGCGCACGCCCCACCCACTGCACCGATGATGGTTCTCGCACGTCGCAATATTACCGGCTATTATGTGTTAGAGATATCGCTTGGGTATTCGCGTAGTTCTCATGGCGATTGAAGCGGGTGTTGACAATATATCAAAGTCGATAGAGGTTGATCTGTCCATGGGTCGCATGGAACACGCATGGAATACCCAGCACGATGTGTCGATCCTCCGCATAACGATTTGCATCGAGAAGACGCGTCCTGTATCTATAACTGTCCACGAGTTCAGTAATCGTCAGGCAGATGAGACGGTACAAACTGTAGGCTATAGTGAGAGGGTCTATGGAGAGTTTCAGTCGAGGGCGACGCTGTGGCGAGCAGACTCTTGATGTTGCTAAAGATCGGTATAGTGTGTATTGCGCATTTTGCGCTGCGCGCATAGCATGTGAAAGCAGAGTGGGGAGTCGGCCGTAGATGTGCGAGGTGAAGAGAAGAGTGTGGTGGCAGTGGTGAAGGATGGTGAGCGGCGGTGATGTCAGACCCTGGGCGCTAAATGTCGAGGAGTCGCGATCAGCCGTCGACGCGTCCACGAGACATTTCAACCAACAACAACAAGTTCCCTTTACAACCCACCATGGCCTTCACAGCGCTCAACAACAAGCCATCGGCACCCATCGTACCCGTCCAAGCACCTGCAGCACCTGCACCATCTGCGCCTGCGCCTGCGCCGGTAGCAGCACCGACACCCGTACCCCATCCACAGGAAATTGATGTCGCTTTCGCTAGCAATCATGAGCTGCGCAAGCGCGTACACGCTGCGATAGGTATGCGACACCATTCTTAAAGCTGATATATGCTAACATGCGCCAAGATCAAAACCCAACACAAAGTACTCTTTTCCGCGACATTTCGACATACATCCTCAATCAAGCCTCGCAACCCGCCGCTGAGCCAGCGACAAAGAAGCGCAAGATCGAAGAGAGCGTTGCCCCGCAGAATGGCGCATCAAAAACAGGAGGCAGCCTCACGAGCACTTCGACGAAAGCATTCAAGACCTACCCAGCCGTCAGCGTCGCGATACCACAGCGAAAGAAGTTCACCCTCGAGCTACTCGACAAGAAGGATGGCGGCATAAGAGCCATTGGCACAAACGGCAACGTCGAATTTGCCATCGCGTGGAAGGACGTCGACCAGGTCTTCTGCCTGCCCATACCCGAGAAGGCGAAGAAACAACATCATTTCGTCATTATACCAGTGCACGGCGATGGAGTGGCGCCCGTGCCAGAAGAAATGAAGGGCTCACCGCCAGAGCCAATCGTATGGACCTTCGAGGAGGCGACAGGAAAGAACATCGTTGAAGGCGAAGACCCAGGGCCAACACCCATGGCTGAGGCGATACACCATTGCTTAATACAAGCCGGCACCGGAAAGGAGGTCATCTTCCCCGACGCTGATGAGTTTGCGAGCGCAGTACCAGAAAGCCACAGGAAGGGCGAGAAGGCATACCACGTCAAGGCGCACAGGGGAAGCAAGGAGGGTACGATATACTCACCCCCTACAGCATCGAACTACTGCTAACACACTTCAGGCTATCTATTCTTCACCTCCGTAGGCATCCTCTACGGCTTCAAGAAGCCCCTCGCATTCTTCGACTTCGCCTCTATAGAGAGCATATCCTACACCAATGTGCTGCGCAACACCTTCAACGTCGTCTTCACCACGCCCAACTCGGGCGACATTGAATTCAGCATGCTCGACCAAGCAGACTTCGCCGGCATAAACGAATACGTCCAGAAACACGGCTTGCAAGATGCTAGTCTGGCTGCGGACCGGCGCGCAAAGAAGCTCAATGTGAATAAGGTGGGCGGCAAGAAGGAGAACGGCGCAGCGGTCGAGGAGGCCGGTGGTGAGGAAGAGGAGAGCGAACTGCAGAAGGCGGAGAGGGAGTTGCAGGACCAGGAGGATGATGAGGAAGAGGATGATGACTTTGATCCTGGCAGTGAGGGCGAGAGCGAAGGCTCGGGGTCGGACAGCGAAGACGAGGATGGTGAGGGTGGTGGATATGAAGAGGGTGATACAGCGGAGGTCGAATACGATGAAGCGGACGATGACAAGATGGAAGACTAGGACTCA